TGCAGTTACCTTCATATTTTGTCCCAGGATATGCAGGTGTTGTTGGTAATGAAAGAGCTGATAGACTGACAGGTGTTGCATTAATTGCAGATAACCGGCCTATGGATCACGCAGACATTGGCAATGCCCTCAGAGGGATAGGACGTCACGGGGATTGTGGATTCAGGACATTGAAGATGCATTACTACAAGAGTACACGAATGGAGACTCGGCCACAGAAAGAGACTTTCAGGCGACATTTGATAAAGATTTTTAAAAAAAAAGGTTAAGTCGGGAAATGTGAACCAATTATAAACCATAAGTGCTCTGCCACCAGTACGGACAGCTGATAAGTAATTGTCCGCACGAAACTCCATAGCTACAGCGACATTCCTCCACTTGCCCCAGAGTGTTAACTCTGATACCCATTTCCTAGAGGCTGGGTGAACTCCGGGAACTGCCCGGTTTCGAACACCAGCCGTTGGCTGCAGCGAGTCGCAGCTTGATTTGAAAGGGAGTCTCCTATCGACTGCGCTAATGCGGCCCCTGGGCGATCCTTGATGATAAAAGGTAAGGTTGGAAATAACTAATGCACACAGAGAAATGTTTTATGTTATCACAATCGACGTCACTGAACTTTGAGCATTCCATGCATGCTCAGTCCTCCGATGCAGCAGCCACTCCAAAAATACTTCTATTAATTGCTCCTATGAGAGATTGGCTATTATGTCTTCTTCTGTATCGGAATATAAAGAAAATGGAGATAATGAAAATATCAAAGAAAAGAATACCACCACAGTGTGATATTGGAATAGAAGGTAAAAAGAGTAATTCAAGTCAATAAATTCTAATATCTGGGTACAATCATACATCAGAGGAAAGAAGTGTGTCATAAACAAAGAGCAGAATAGGCCAAGCTAAGGCTGCATTCCACGGAATGAAGAACATCTTGTGCGACATGTTTCTGTCTGTCTGTCTGTCTGCCTGCCTGCCTGCCTGCCTGCCTGCCTGCCTGCCTGCCTGCCTGCCTGCCTGCCTGCCTGCCTGCCTGCCTGCCTGCCTGCCTGTCTGTCTGTCTGTCTGTCTGTCTGTCTGTCTGTCTGTCTGTCTGTCTGTCTGTCTGTCTGTCTGTCTGTCTGTCTGTCTGTCTGTCTGTCTGTCTGTCTGTCTGTCTGTCTGTCTGTCTGTCTGTCTGTCTGTCTTTGATGTCCGAAAGAGAGTGCTAAAATATTATTAGAACCTATATTGATGTATGGTAGTGAATCATGGAATTAGAAAGAACTTGGAGGTTATAGAGATGTGATTCCTCACACAAATGTTATGAATCCCTTGGACTACCAGAGTAACTAAAAGAAGATTTCTCAAAAAAAGCTAACAAATAAAGATCAATATATTCAGCTAAAAGGAGGAAAAGACAAGCACTATTCTTTGGTCATGTGATGAGCGGAGGGGGAGGCTTTGGAGAATATTGTGACTACTAGAAAGATCAACTGTAGATGAGGGAGAGGCAGACCAAGAGAGCTGATAACAGATGGATTCTGACGTTGCATGGAGGGATATCATCGGTGGAAGTGATCCAGAGGACAATAGATCAAGATCTATGGAGATGCATGAACACCTATGCCAGTCTTGGCCTCGAAGGAGTCATAGACGTGCTTCACCATGGGTTACTCTCATGTCACGCAATCGTTTAGTGTCAAAGATTCCTCATTATCCTTTAGTTCATTCCACACAGTGTTGATTTGGTCTGCTCTGTCCATACTTCTTTCAACACCTTCTCCAGATGCGTTGATGCGTTGCCTACCACTTTGTCAGGAGAAAAAAATTTTAGAGGTTAGAAAAATGGGAATGACATGAAAGAATTAGTGATGGCAAATAGAAATGCTTTGTATATAATGGGTGGCAGCCTATGCTCCATTATCATTATGTAGCATTTCCTTTTCTGAACGTCGCTGCCATCACATCGCACATGAAAAACAAAAACTCGGCCCGTCACCTGCTCTACAGTCTCATGCACTTTCTTGCCCAAGATGTCTCTTATGTCCACCTTCATGATGGTCATCTGCTGCCCCTCTTGCCTGGTACCATGCCCAGTGCTACTGGTTTTTTTCCAACCCATCATGGAATTTGATATTTCCCCACTGGAACAACAAAGGACAGAAAATTAAACATTCTGAATAATTCTCACAAAAACATTTTAAACTGAAAAAAAAAACTGTTATTTTGATTGTCATATTTATTGTTGACATAAACATCTGTGAATAATGAAACTATCAGGCAAATTGTGGGAACGACACCTTGTACTAGATTCATCAAGAAACAGCAGATTAAGTGGTTTGGCCATCTTGTTAGAATGCAGCAAGATCAAATACCATCACAAGCACTGCATCTCAGAAGATCAGCTACAAGAGCAAGAGGACGGCCGAGGGAAAACATGGATCGACAACATTAAAGACACTTTTCACCTTCACAGCATGACAATAGTAGCAGCCATCGTGCACTGGATTGAAAATTATTCCTCTCCACGACGCTTAATGGCAGAAGTGGTTGGTTGATGATGATGATGATGATGATGATAAACATCTGTATCCATTAAGAAATGACAAATGAAAACAATCTGGCACATGCAAGTAAAATAGCTCTGCAGGATACTCTTGCATTTGTTGTTGTTGAAAACTGTGTGTGCTCATCAATCCTGAATATATGAGTGAAAAAATGTTGTAGTTTCTCATTCTTTCTTTCTCTTTAGTGTTCACTAGCTGTAAACTCCAGCAGAAATTACTGGCTGTTTGCCCACTTCTGGATTTTGGTCTTGTTCCAGTTTTGTGTGCACATTCGTTTTACATACCTGGCTTATTTATATGCATACTGCTGGTTCTTTGCCTCTCAGGCAGATACTCTCAGACTTTGAAAGAAACACCTCTAATTGGTCACATTTTATGATAGGCTTGTTGGAGGGGGCAGTGGGTCCCCTCCCCTCCCCCCAAAGGGTCCTGGAACCCACACAGGTAGGTTTATGAGCAAAACTAAACATGCTTCTGCATTTCTTACATGAATTTAAAAAGTACAAGACTCAAATTTACAACTTTCATAAATGTTTAGGCAGTCTCAGAGTATTTCTTAAGATCTGTCTTGATACTGGAAAATATCCTGGGAAATAAAGGTGACAAATGTGATATTAACTACAGCACAAATCAAATGCAAACTGGCTAAAAAGTCTCTTGAGAATCGCTTTATTTATACTCTGGGGACTTTGATGCCCTCTGGAATGAATTGCCAACACAGATTCATTTAAACTTCCAGGGAATTGAACTGCCCTCACAGTTTCAACCCTTACACCCCAGTTATAGCCTCTGATACTCCACAGGGGAGTATTTATTCCCCCAGCTGACACGTGCAGTCATTCTGCTGAAACAACCGACCTGGCCACATCGTGATACCAGCTAAGTGATTTTTCGTATCTATGTAGTATTGTTTATTTTGTGTGTGCTGATGAAGGCTCAATAGCCGCAACGTTTACGTTTTGTTTGTATTTGTTATATTGTGAAGCTTGCTAATATACTTTTCGTTCGGTTTTATATCTTTTCTTGAAAACAAAAAAAGTAGAAAGCAACACTATGATAATAATGAACCATTTGGCATAAAGATGCAAAAAATGACTGACTAGCTGAAGCAAGGCAGTGCAGGTTGTCTTGTCTCATTTGGTACTGAACCCATATATTTCATGGTGAAAGTTTATTTAACTGCTTTACCACTAAACAAATAAACATGAAATACTCTTAAATACAATGCCCATTAAAAACTGCCAGTGTAAATTTGTGTTAGCACACATACAGATGTATAATAATTATAATTTTGCACTGCATCACAGTATAATACTTAAAATATACATGTTCAGTAAAAAGTTTATATATTGTTTGTGCAAGCTTATTTTGAACTCAATGCTGCAATGTCAAAGAGGAAATTAGAGGAAAGTAAAATCTTAACATTACAGAATATACAAACTGGTCTAAGGTAAATAATCTTGTATATGTAAATCTGGCCAGTCACACTGTATAGTAGTAATATATGAAATATGAATGAAGGAATAAAATGAACAGAAACATTTGAGATGTGATGTTAGTGAAGACTAGAGGAACCAGCTGAACAAACAAATTGACTAATAAATAAACTCTGGAAGATATCGCAGAACAGTGCTCCAGGACCAAGGTTCATCCTGGTTAAGACTACAGCTTTTTTTTTCATGGCAGTACGCTGTACCTGCACCTTTTTTTTTTAGGTATCCTTGTTTTTCCAGCGCTACTGTGATAGGTATGTATGAATAGTGGTAACTTTCTTTAGACATTTTGTGGTGAGTACTGGCAACTTTATTGGGGGGGGGGGGGGGGGGTGCTGGTTAAGACCTATCAATTGGCTTCCATGGCTTAAGTATTGAGAATGTGCTTCATAATTCTGTGGTGCTGGGTTTGATCCCAGCTGCAAACAATTTTGCAGCAGACCACCTTGTATTGGTTTTAACAGTGTACAAAGAGCTAACAGTTCAGTAACAAGCAGCAAACTAGTGAAAGTAAAATTGCCTAGTGAAATCACAGACAGGCGAAAAATGACGGGGTTGGTTCTGCAGTGTCCTGTAAAGATACGCATTTGTTGCCTGCGTTAGCCTTCGCAGATTTGAAATATGATGCTGTAAAATATAATACACCAGACAATGCAAAGTTACTGAACAGAGACCAAAATAGCTATAGATTCTACACATAATCAAGTAATAACATTTCACAAAATATCTGTGAGAGATAACAGAATGCTGCTCCTCTTTGGTGCATGTAAAAAGTGGGGTGTCATCTTTAAACTGTCTTAATGAAGTCATTGTTTTGTCTGCACTAAGATATCACATGCTTAAAAGTCTTGACTACCCTATCAACGTGCTGGCAGGTTTCAAGACAATAGCATGATTATTGTAATTTCTTTCCCACTTTGAAAGTTTTCCTTTGAAGTCCCCTTGTATAAACGTACAAATTATTTTAGGCATTGCAATTTTTCCAAGGTATCTTGCGGGCAGGATCCTGGCAACAGACCAAAGAGATGCTGTCTTCCAGACCGACTGCTTTGTACCTTTGCAAGACAAATAAACAAGACAATGATTAAAAAGGTGGGAGTAGTTTGCAGTTTGAAACAATCCTCAACAAATTAAAATTCATACAACACATAATTTAAAAACATAATGGTAGAGCAAAAGAAGTTACTTTATTGGTTTCATGAAGTCATCTTCCTTTCCCAGGAAATTCTGAAAGGTGGGATTGGTTTATGTGTTAAACCCAAACAATTGAACTAATATTTTTTGTTTTTTCAAAAAGCCCTGCAGGTTCCTCTTCATCCTACCCCTGTTTCTCTTACATCCTACCCCTGTTTCTCTTACATCCTACCCCTGTTTCTCTTACATCCCACCCCTGTTTCTCTTACATCCTACCCCTGTTTCTCTTACATCCCACCCCCTGTTTATCTTACATCCCACCCCCTGTTCCTCTTACATCCCACCCCCTGTTCCTCTTACATCCCACCCCTGTTTCTCTTACATCCACCCCTGCAATCATTCATCTTTCTCTAATTATAGGTCATTGCCATTGATTTTTCGAAGTCAACAGCGGGATGATAGGGTTTATGTGTGAAAAGAAATTGTGCTCAGATTAAATACATCAGATCTCAGCAATAAAGTGCTCACACAAAAGTAGTTTCCTATAGCTTCAAAAAATGTATGAATATATACTTACTTTTCTCCAGCTTGGATTAAGATGGAATCATTTTTGTGAAGTCTGTATTCATTACCAGCTACAGTTATCACAGATTCTCCTTCCTGTGAGAGAAGATTTCAAAACACAGTTAAATGCAATATTCTCAATGTTTTTATTTGAAAAGCTAAAATTATACCATCTTATTGAGGATAATCGGGAGCCGTCGGGGTATTGCAGCTAGATACTTGAATGTGGATCTGAAGGTCACAGGTTCAGTTCCAAATGGATTTTTCTTTTTAAATGACCCTGGCTCTGAGATCAACCCAGCTTTATTTGGGTATCAGCTTAAAGTCCTGGGAAGTAAAGGCGGCTGGTGTGATATTGACACATCACCCACAGAATTCCGATTGGTCAATAAAATATAGGTCAAGTACTATACGCTCAGGCCTGAAGGATGCAAACGGATCCTCTAATGAAGTTGATCAATACAATATTGTGTAACAATTCTCTATAACAGAGCATATTGCTAAAGCAATAGTTAATATAAACATAAGTAGAAAATGATTATGTAACGTCCATCCTAATCATAACACAGACGGTGGGAACAGGATAATATTTTATGTAAAGTCAAAACAGTAAAATCTTATTAAGATTAATGCAGAGGAACCAAAAATTAAAGAGTTCATGTTAAAAAAATTTATAGTAATTAGAGACAATAGTAAATTCCTGCTAGTACTAACATTTTTTTCTTCTTCTTCTGTGAATTCTGGTGAGAAGTTTTGTTTGTTCATCCACTTTTGGACTTGAGACTTCTTTCAGAATGTTGCCTGCACATCTTTCTCACAGATCTGGCTTATTTGTATGCAGACTGCTGGTTTCATGCCTCTCAGGCTCTGACTTCAAAGGAAACCCCCTCAGTTAGTCGACGCTTACGAAATGCTTGTTGGGGGGGGGGGGGGGGGGGGCAGTGGGTCTATTTTGGTATTCTCCATAATGGGGCCCCTGAACCCACACAGTGAAAACTGTGTTCGTGTTTACCAGGTGTTCTTTGCTGGAATTACCGGGGCTGTTAGCACCCTCCAATAATCCTCATAAAAGGAATTTATGTTAACAAGGTGTTACTGTATTGAGCAGTGATTCCAGAACTGTGCGCCGTGGCGTCCCTGGAGCCGCGGCGTCCCTGGAACCGCAACCTCTTCACAAGGGCGTCGCAAAATATTGTAAAAGCTTCACAATTAATTTAACTAAGACATCTGGCCTTACTAGACAAAAATGCGAGAAGCTAAAATTATCTAGATTTTGTGTGTGTGTGAGATTTGTTTTTATCTCTTACTTATGTATAATCATACCTTTACTTAGGTTAGGGAGACGTGGACAAATTTTAATTGGAAAAAAGCGCCACGACTAAGACAAGTTTAGGAAACACTGGTATATAGCATAACTTACTGAAAAGATATTATAGAATACATAAAATAACAACAAATATTCAGCTGTACATCTTAGTAATAACTCTTAGGTTTGAACAAGACATTATTTATGTTAATACTTCTGCTATAATTACACAAAAAGAGATTAAGTTGTAATGCTGACATTCAAACCATTGAAAATATGATGTCTGCTGATGCTGCCACAGCTTATTCATCATTTTCTCACTCCTCTTTTTCTCCTCCTCTTTATTCTACTTCTCCTTCTTCTCCTCCTCCTCCTCCTCCTGTTACTAAACTGATAACTCATCTAAGAATCAACATCATAGCATACCAGTGGCACCTAAAGTTGTTTCGTCTTTTACATACTCTTTCTCTTACACATGCCACTATAATGATCATTAAATACACTACAAAACTTTTACTGAGCAGGATGGCCCATCTATAGGTTTTCCCAGCGTGTTATGATGTAAATCCTTAAAATGATGAAGAAACACTTACATAGGGTTCTGAGTATCTAAGGACAAATCTAAAAGGTGAATTTTCCAGCTTAATTGTTCTGTGGCTTTTTTTACCGCAGATTCTCTGGAAAGTTATTTATTTCTATCTTATTTAGATAATGCAAATTCTCCATTTCTGGACTAGGCGTCAAAATTTTCTATCACTCTGCTGCTGAGTTGAGTGCTTGGTGCAACACTGTGAGCTGTGAATTTCATATGGAATGTATTTTCTGGTGCGCATAAAATGATTTGTTGACTGCACTAAAATGACCGGTGGCCAGTTTTGTTAAGAATGGTATGTACTTTTGTGGGTGTAATGCCAGCTTTCATTACTGACCACTTGTGCAAACAGTTAGTTGCAGTTCTGGTGCGGGACCATTAGTGTTGGCTCATCTGACAGCTGCACTTTTACTTTGCACATGCAAGCATCATGATTTTGCTGGGACTCACAAGTTGTTCACTGGTTTTCAAATGTGACAGTGAAGAACATTTTGTGTGATTTCCACTTCATAGGACGGAGCAGCTATGGAGCGACCCATCTGCAATGAGGTTGGTACCTTGATAAATGATTTAATATCTAGAGGGCAATGATTATAAACTATACTGCACTCAAATGACTCTTCATCTGAAAAACATTTTGTGTGATTTCTACTTCATAGGACGGAGCAGCTATGGAGCGACCCATCTGCAATGAGGTTGGGACCTTGATAAATTATTTAATATCTAAATGGGAAATAATTATAAACTATATTGCACTCAAATGACTCTTCATCTGAAAAAAATTTTGTGTGATTTCTACTTCACAAGATGGAGCAACCCTTCTGCAATGAGATTGGAACCATAACAAATGATATAATATCTAGAAGGCAATTCTTCTTCTTCTTTCGTTCGCCTGAAATAAGTTGTCTTTATCAGCAATTTTGTCTCTTGTATAAATGTCACTGTTGTTATTAATTCATTCAGTGTTCCATAGAGTGTACGTTCCACTGTTGTTCTTTCTGGCCGAAAGGTTTGCCTTAATGTGTCAAATTCGGTACAGTCCTGGAGTACATGCTCTGCTGTCTGGGGCACCTTTCCACAGGTGCACATGGCTGATACGCCTATCTTGAATTTTGTGTACATGTGGTTACGTAATCGGTTGTGCCCTGTTCTGAGGCGGAGAATAATAACTTAGAAGGCAATGATTATAATCTATTCTGCACTGAAATGAATCTTCATCAGTTTTGAAAGATTATGTTCCGTGCCCATAATAGTCCACAGTTACCAATTTATATTCAAATATTCTCTCAATATTTTTGTAAAATAACAGTGATATGAACATTTATTCTTCAATGGATATTCGAAGGGAAACCACTCACCAGTTGCCATATCCAAGTCTCTGCTCGATCACTGCCTCCAGTGTTCTCTCCCTTACCATAAATAGCTACCTGTTTATCAAAAGAAGGAAACTTAACTAACTTTATTTTCAAAGGGTAAATAATGACATCAAATCATCTTCTTCAGCATTCCGAGCCCCTTGAGGTTCACTGATGCAGATATCACCTGCCTCCATTCATCTCTCTGGTTGGCCGCTATTCCAGCAGTGAAGGTCTATCTGGATATTATCTCTCTAACGTTTTCTCTGTGTCTTGGTCATTTATTCTTGGCAGTAAAACATAAACCTAAAAATTGAATTAACCATGTCAGTTAGGGGGATCTCCGTAGTGAAGTGGTCAAGCCATTTTATAGAGATCCCTGGAAATTGTCCCCAGAGCTATGGAGTTTGTGCTCTGTGTGGTGCTCTCAGCAGGCTGCTAGCCATTCTACAGAGAGAGACCTACCCATAAGGGACAAGGCCTGGTGCAATGAAGTGGATCCTCTCGACTTTAACCTTTAACCTTTTTTTAACGATGTTAGCCTGGGTGCCCTAAACCTGGCTTTTCCAGGGTTACATTTCCATAAAGGTCTTGAACCCTGTAGCGACCTGTTTTTATGAGAACCATAGTTTAAATATCATTGGCTATGTTCACGTCTAACAGAATTTAGCAGGCTATGTTTACTCAAAATAGCATTTAGTGGGTTTTCTTGTGAACTGGACTCCATTTTTTAAAGCCAAGCTGACCTCAAATGTTCCTGTAAACCTCATTGATAGAGGTCACAGGGTTGAAGCATGAGTCAGCAGATGGATATACTATTTTAGACTCTCTGGAATGTATTCCATTTAATGCTTCTTTCTGTTTATGTTTATTGATTACTCTCTTTATAGGAGTTCATATCTTTTAGGAAAACAGACTTCAAAACACAAAAATTAATTTTTTTTTTTTTTTGGGTTTAAATTGTAATGACGTGTGTAAAAAAAATATTTCAAGTATTTTGTGGTGGGAGGATTTCCATGGCATTATGACCTATTTTTTTTCTAGCTTTTCCAAGGTGAAAAAGTTAAAGGTTTCATTCATCCCTATGTTTTTTAATCCTCCTATATAAAAAAAAAAAAGTACATTAAAAAAATTATACCCAGGCTTCCAGTTTAACAAAAGCAAAAACTGGGTACCAGGATGTAATGGTGGCTGGTGTAATAGAGTGTACATGACACCTGGAGTGATGACATCTGGGCTCATCTGAATAAAGATGCGACATCACAGCCTTCAGGACATGCCCACATTAGCTCTGTCTCCATTCTCAACAGCCAGCAAAGAGTTTCCACATTGATGGTACCCACTGTCATCCGATCAACTACTTGTCTTGTCCGCCCCCATCCTTTTTACACACTCACAAGTCTCAAGTGCTGCCCACAGTCATCTGACACTCCTTACTGCACTATTACTTCAGGTACAGGTTTTAAGTATCTTCCATTTTACTTGTTACCTGGTAGCACAGGTGTGAGATCACCTTTGTTTTGTGGAGTTGTAGTACATCCCCCCCCCCTCCTTTCCAATGGGGCCTGTCCAGCCAGCCTATCTGCCTACTCATTTCCAAACATGCTTGAATAACCTGAGCAAAATATCCATGTAACTCTCCCCCCTGCAACCTCTGGACTGATGCAAACCATTCCATATGAAGAAAAACTGACTCCACTTTCCTGATCGTGCTTGGCAAATCTGATACTATGACATCATATGTGGATGAGACTGTCTCCACCCATCAGAGTGCAGCAGTTACCACCTCAACCTCCATTCTTACTCCAGGTGTGATAATGCCTATGCTAAGCTTCCGTCAGTCCCCCCCACCCCACTCCCACCAGCTCCCAGGCTTTTGCAATGAAGCTCCATCCACTCTTTCTACCCCTGGCCACTGACCCATCAGTGTCAGTGCTGATCATCATCATCATCAGGTGCCTTGCCGACTGGCGTGGGCGATCATGCCTCTCCATAATCCGCGATCTCCTGCAGCATGTATCAGTTCATGTGCCGACACACCTCCATGCCATGCAACAAGACTGTCAAGCATCTTCTCTCGTTGTCTTCCTCTATCCCTCCTTCCACAGATCTTTCCAGTGGTCACAACATGTTCTATTTTCCCTCTTCTCATAACATGGCCGAAAAATGATGACTGTCTCCTTCTGATGTCAGTGATAAGTTGTCTTTGGGCTCCCGCCTCTTTTAAAACCTCTTGAATGCTCTTTTTGGCTGTCCAAGGTATTCTAAGCATTCTTCTGTAAAACCACATCACTGAGGCCTCTAAAAATTGTTTGGCCTGCCTACCGATTGTCCAGGATTCACATCCATATGTTAAAACTGGATGTATGTAGCAAGCAAGAATTCTTTTTCTAACTCTCAATGACAAGGATATATTGCACAAGATGTTTTTCATTTTATAAAATGAAAAGTGCTGATAGGTCTGTTAAAGAACTGAAGCTTGAAGTTTGAAGTTTATAGTTTGAACAACTGCTCAACATCATGGCACACAGGTAGTAACCCATAAGTGCTCCGTTCTTCTTCTAACTCAAGTCTGAGTCTAAAGAAGTTCAGCACAGTGCAAAGGTTCTGTAGAACCGGTGAGGGTCCTTAAACACTCTGGGTAGATTTTTAACTCCAAATTTTGCCTGGTCAACGCCGTTAGGCTACTCTTTTCGATTTCCAACTGTCAATGGATTTTTGTACATGCACAGCAATGCACACGGGTGTCCAATATCACTACCCAGAGACCAGGGGGAATTTCCAGAAGTCCAAGTCCACCCGAAAAAATTCCAGCCTTTACCGGGGATTGAAACCAGAACCTCTAGCACTCAAGGCAGAAACCACGCCTCGAGACCACCCAACCTCTGATGTTAGATATATATACCCAATAGGCTTTAAGAGCTGGAATGGGACTTTTACCTTAAAATCACTACTCTCTAACATAAGACATAACCTATGCAAATTCAGCTTGACATATTTTTTCCAGATCATGCTGGTGTGTTGGGAAATGAGCAGGCAGAAAGACTGGCTGGCTCTGCACCACTTGATGGTGAACTGATATATGACAAATTAGATATTGTGAGGGCCCTTTGAGAGCAAGTGAACAGGGCGGAGGTGCAGACAGATCATTACGGTCTAAGGAGAATGGCGCTGCGAGGAGTTCCCAGGGGATCTGGTTGATGTTCAACACTCAGGGGAAAGATGAGACGGATATACAATAAGACCGTTACTGGTACTATCAGAACTGGAACTCTTCGCTTGCTGCTGAAGATGGGGACTGAGCACTTATAGGAGTGTCCCGAGTGCTGTGATGTTGATTCTTAATTCAACATTCAACATGCAGCTTGACATAATCCCAACTACAAAACTCACATAAAATTGTCTGTTGTCTCCAAAAAGTTGTAAGGAGCCAGCAGAATCAATTTCTGCTCTGTGATCCTTTATCCAGTTATGGAGATTAAAGGGACTCTGTAAGCTTGTCTCTCCATCAATTGTGACAGGAGGCTTCTCTGGGATAGTTCCTGCAAGAAATCATATTGTTTTTAGTAGTTACATCAAGCAAACACTGACAGTATATATATCATGAAATCTCAGACATAGGCAGTTACATGAAGCAAATACTGACAGTACATAAATCATGAAATCTGAGACATAGGCAGTTTCATCAAGCAAACACTGACAGTATATAAATAATGAAATCTCAGACATAGGCAGTTACATGAAGCAAATACTGACAGTACATAAATCATGAAATCTGAGACATAGGCAGTTTCATCAAGCAAACACTGACAGTATATAAATAATGAAATCTCAGACATATGCATCATTTCATATTAAAGAACCAGATTTCACCTTTAACCCTTTCACTTTCTAAGTTTTCAAACCAAAAAAAAGAGGACGTTTTTCCTAGGTGCAGTATAAATAAATGCATCTTGATAATTCTTTTCAACTCAACTCAACTTAACTTTAACACTCTTTTCCATCAATATTTCAGAAGTATTCAAAATTTCAGAACATGGAAGAAACTACCAGAGATAGTAAAAAGTATCATAAACATGGCGCTGGGTGAGAAAGTATACTACCTGAAGGACAAAAGCGGAGGAAGAACAAAATATCCACTTATATGTTTGCACACAAACATATATCTACTACACACATGTTCTCTCTCTCTCTCTCTCTCTGTATGTGCGTCTCTCTCTTTCATTCTGTTTAAAATATGGACATCTGTGCATACAAACTTATACACAAAAAAACAGGTTGTTCCATGTAGGTATAAAGTCATCTATGCATGCATATTCATATACAATGGACAAAGAAGACAAGAAATACTGACATCCAAAAATATCTGAATATAAATGAAGATTGGCTGGTAAACAGCAACTTGTTTAGAAACTGAAATATGTTGGACATATTAAGCGCCAGAGTGGACTGGCAAAAGTATTAAAAGAGGGTTGTGGTACTAGGAAAAGAAGGGCAGGGTCTGACCATCACAAAGATGGGCACAAGGTATAAGTGACAACTCAGGTAGGAAAGTGCAAGAGGTTGGAAGACTGACAAGAGACTCAGTTTCTCTGAGGGAGGTCGTGATGAGAGTGATGCTCTGCAAAGGACCTGCTACATAACGTTGATGATGCATATTCAGTCCCCCCCCTCCCCCCCCCCCCCCCCCCCCCCCCCCGCCTTTCCCTCCCCCAAACAAAACTATAATTTAAATATTTTCATAAATTATATTTCACATATGCCAACTCTATCATCTTTTCCTGGGCAAATGGGGTCGGTTACTTCTGACCTTAGCAAAGCCCATAAGTCCTATACCCAGGGTGCAGCAGGTGTAGTTTTCTCTCAGCAGCTTCCCCCCCCCCCACAGTTCAAAACTGTATTCAATTGACCTTTAATAAACCTTAGATGTTGTAAAGGCCCTTATGGAGGCACACATGTATCATTATGGTCTGAGGAGAGTGATGATATCTAAGGAGAATAGTGATCTCTGAGGAGAATGGTGATCTCTGAGGAGAGTGGTGATTTCTGAGGAGAATGGTGATTTCTGAGGAGAATGGTGATCTCTGAGGAGAATGGTGATCTCTGAGGAGAATAGTGATCTCTGAGGAGAATGGTGATCTCTGAGGAGAATGGTGATCTCTGAGGAGAATGGTGATCTCTGAGGAGAATGGTAATCTAGGGGATCTGACCAACACTCAACACTCAGGAAAAATGCAAGATGGATATACAGTCAGGCTGCTACTGGTGCCATTAAATTGGAACCGCCCTTGCTCCTGAAGATGGAGTGCTTATGGGAATTTCCCAAATACTGTGATGTTGATTATTAATTAAACACTAAACACTGAACATAACCAACCTGGTACTGGTTGGCCAGTTTTACACTGCTCCGAGGCAATGAATCTGTAAATGTTTTAGTTAGGTTAAAGATCAAGAAATGACAACAAATAAACTGTTAATATCAGTAGAAAAGTAAAAACATGCATGCACAGTTTGTTTTTCAAACTAGTGAGCTTCAAGTTGATGTGGCGGACAGGCAGGTTACTGTTTTTAGTAGTGGGAAGTTTTTGCTTCTAACAATAGTGAGCTGTTACATTTGTCTCCGCAGGTAGACTGAAAGGATATGGTTCCATCGCCCAGCTATTGAGTTGATTGAATAGCACGACACTGTGAGCTGCTGATTTTCATTATGAATACTTTTCAACTGTACCCAATGTGGTTTGTGTTGTGAACTGCAGATTCAGAAAATAGCTAGTGGCCTGGTGCCAGAAAACATGTGGTACCTTATGCAATTTATTTAATGTGTATTTCATGAGCTAATGGTGATCTGTTGTAACTGCTGCTTCCATCGGCTATGAAATGCATTTCTTGTGTCAGACTGTTTGTGTTGGCACTTCTGACTGCTGCCTTATGCATTAAATGTGTGTGTATGTTGTTGGATTTATTAAGACTGCAGTCTAAGTAAATTTTTTCACAAGAGACAGAGGCAAACATTCTGTATGGTTCCAATGGCAGAGAAACGGAGCAACTATGGGATGAACCGTTTGCTATGAAGATGGACCTGTGATTACCTGATTTTCTTCTTAAAGTCCATGCCAAGTGGTGTTGGTAGTCATGTCTATCCACAACTTTTGTTGTACAGACATAACTTTTCTTGGCAAAGTACTCACAGTAGGTTTCAATATCTTTCTATGAGAGCAGTGTCCATACTAGGGGGGGGGGGGGGGGGGGGGTGTCCTAGCAATTGTGCCTATAGAGGCATCCTCTGCCTAGCAGAGTTAAAGTGATGACCAGTACTGAAAACTTCTCAGTTGCTCACCACGTATCCATCGCCTGCCTGCCATGACTTCGGGTAACACTGATCAGGAGTTTAAGTGGGTACTCTACTCCTGCCTGATTACCTTACCTTACCTGATATACAGCAAAAGAAGAAGAAGAGCTAGGATAGAAGTAAAGAATATCAAAACTATCTATATTGTCTTCTTCACTTTTACCGGGTTGCAGCCCAGTGTCGCGGTTTAAAATATTTGTTTTGTGCCTCTCGCGTGATTTGAGTGACAGTTTTCTGGATCTTCTGGCCGTATTCAGCTACTCCATCTAGCCATTTTTTCCTGGGTCTTCCTCTGGCCTTTCTTCCTGATGTTCTACTGTAAAAGGCCTTATAGGCAATCTGATCCGGTTTCATTCTTACTAAATGGCCAAACCACTTCATTCTCTGTCTTTCAATATGTTTCATGCATGCTCTTGTTCCAACTTTGTCTCTAATGCTGACGATTGTGACTCTGTCTCTTCGTGTATTGTTGGTGACTCTTCGGAGACATCGCATTTCATACGTAGTTATTTTTTGCATATGTGATTTGTTCATTGTCCACGTTTGGCACTGATAACATAACGTAGGGATGAAAATGCTGTTGATCATCCGTTGTTTGGCTGGTAACGAGATCTTTGGATGACGAATACTATAACAATATAATTATAATATAATAATAACTATATCAATACTATAACATATCAAAATCTGCATTCTTTGATCATGTCATGAGATGAAGAAAACTGGGATATGATGGTGGGATAGTTTAAGGGAAAGAGAGGCCGAGGGAGACCAATGAGAGAGAGGACGCTGGGCATGTTTGACATCACGGTGTAGAAGATTACCTGTGTCAGAGTTGATTGAAAGTACACGAGACAGAAGGTTGTTGATAGACATGACTACAAACCACAGCGCTGACTCTAAGAAGCAGGGCAGTTACCATGAGACTGAGCCACAACCCAGTAACAATGTGACAACAAAAGTCGAAGAAGTTACTGGGGAGCCATTACAAAGTCTGGTAGTCTTAGTTTCAGCTTCATAGCAAACGGGTCGCCCCATCTTTGCTCCGCTCCTGTGCCAGCGAAAAACACCCAGAATGTTCATCACAGTCCCTTGTGGCAAGATTGACAGACTGCTGTCTCAGCATATCTAGCATACACTCGCATTAACGCATATGGTAGCCATCCGAAGTGCTAACACAAACAGTCCAACATTAGAAATGCAGTTCATCATTGATGATAGCAGAACTTGTCGCCAACAGATCAGCAGTTGCCCGCGCGATCAATTTTAATACGGGCCCCGCCAGCATTGCACGACCGGCATCGCGCCATTTTCTGAATCTACAATTCACACCACGTTGGTCACAGTCAAAAAAAACATTCCAAATGCAATCCGCAGCTCACAGGGTCACACCATGCATTCAACTCATTCAACTCAGAAGCTGGGAGACGAAACTATATCCAGTCTACAAATGGAGCAAAAATGCATCGGCCACCGTCCGGCAGAAGAAAAAATTTGCCTCCGCTCCGAACAGCGTCGCTGTCTAGCGTCCATTTTAACCGGAAGTTCATAGAATAGAATAGTAACACGTAACATGCCATACATGTCATAAGATGAAACAAAAAAAGGGCTACCTCATCCCATATAATCCTCAAGTGGGTTTAAGGGTCCCATTGTGGGGGGCAAAAGAATAGATCCACTGCCCCCTAACAAGCTTGTCCTACCAGTTGTCTAATTAGGGGTGTTACTTTCAAAGTCGTATTGCATATGCCTGAGAGGTGAGGAACCACCAGCATCAAAATAAGCCAGAACAGTCAAATAGATTTCAAAGGGAAACTCCAGTTCCGGAACAAAACCAGAGTCCAGAAGTGGGGGAAAAGCCAGAACTTTCCACTGGAGTTTACAGCTGGTGAACACTAAAAAGACAAAGAAATTGCATAAAAATCAAAATCCAGCCAGTCATAAACAGTTCTTATCATCATCATCATGTAGCAGGTCCTTTGCAGAACGTCGCTCTCATCACAGTCTGCCTGAAAGAAACTCGGTCTCTCGCCAGTTCTCACGCCTCATGCATTTTCACATTCAAGGAGTCACTTATATCCTGTGCCCATCTTCGTGTCGGTTTGCCCCTGCCCCTCCTTCCTGGTACCATGACTTCTGCTATAATTTTTTCTAATCAGTCGTGGCGCTTGATGTGACCAAAATATTTCAGCTTTGGAGAAAGGATGCTGTTTATTTAAACAGTTCTACAAAGGGAAAATTTATGAACTTCTTCATCTTCTTCATTAACATTTTTACCCTTTAGGGTTTCAAGTAAAATATAAGGTTGTGTTTTTCTCTTCTGATTACCTCAGCCATAGACACACTGTGTTGTTGTAGAAAATCTCTGATGTTGTCTTTCCATCCTGTTCTTGGTCTGCCTCGTGATCTACATCCTTCTATTTTTTGTGTGTGTATGCCTTGTATGTCACAAGGTATTTTCTCTAAGTGATCAGCCATTTGATTTACTGTCTTTGTATGTATAACGTTTTAGTGTGGCTCGCTTTAGCAGATAGAACCAGGGCATTCTTGTTAGGTGTCTAAACCACTTTGATACCCACTGCAATTTTGAAATGCTTGATTAATTCACCCAAACCTAAAAGATAGCAGCTTAACCCTCTTAGCACGGACGGGCCGATTATCGGCCGGCGGATGTCTGGCCAAAAACACGGAACGGCCGATGATCGGCCCGATCGTGTTTCGCCTCGAACCGCTAAGAAATCTCCTACTTTGAAACACTGAAAGTGATTCATTTATATTAACTGCGGTATCAGCTTTACACATGGCGACTTTCGAGTGTTTGGTATCGAAGTGAAAATTGTTGTTGAATTTTTTAGATAGTGACCTGAACCGCTAAAAGTATGTCTGACTCGTATGTTTCTGCCCCTAAACTTGATGTTGATAAAACATTTGAATCAAGTGATGACACTAATTCTGTTGATACTGATGCAGGATTTAGTGTTAGTAGTAATAGTGGGAATCAGATGGGGACGCTGTTGTGTTCAGACCACAGCCCAACTATGGCTCAGGGTATATCCACCCGAAGGTGTTGACACTCCGGCACATCCATTTCTAGTGCTGACTGATGGTGACATGTCACCTAAAGATATTATTGCTGTTTCACATATATATACCTGTTTTAGACTATTGAATTGCTTACAACATTTGTAAAAAGGCCAAAGATCAATAAAATGATTTCAAATAAAAAAAATTTTTGTTTTTAGTTTTATGTTTCAAGCATTGAAGTTGAAAATTCAAATTCATATTTTCTATTTTTAGATATGCAAATGAGATAATTTGCATATACATCAATTAATTTTAACGATATTGTGAAAATCACGAACTTCAATCTATATCCTTCAAATAGATATATTATTTCATAGGGGTCAGAATAACAGAAATCTGTCAAAAAAATTAAATAAAGTAATAACCAAATTCACTGAAAAAATGCTCCGTGTTTTTGGCTAGACCTCTGAAAAACTTCCCGTGCTAAAAGGGTTAATATCAAAATGATTCTACCTTCTGATGACAGGAGCAAGCTCTGTACCCAAATCTTTACAGTAGAACCACTCTTCATAAAGGGAGTCTGTAGTTGGGACACCATCCTTCACTTGGAAATACCTTAAACATTGAACATTAAAACATCTATATAAGATGTGAATCAAAGAACACTTAGAATTCCTGTTCTTTTTAAAGAAAAGATATAAAACCAAATGAAAAGTATATTAACTAGCTTCACAATTTAACAAATACAAACAAAGTGTGAACGTTGTGGCTATGGAGCCTTCATCAGCACATACAAATCAAACAATTCGACACAAATACACAAAAGCACTTAGCTGGTATCTCGCAGCAGCCGGGTCGATGATTTCTCAGCATACTGCTGACACACGTGGGCCAGGGGAATAAATACCCCCTGTGGAGTACCAGGGGCTATAACTAGGGTAAAGTTAAAACTGTGAGTGCAGTTAAATCCCCTAGGAGTTTAAATGAAACTGTGTTGGCAATTTAGTCAGGAGGGTGTTAAAGTACCCAAAGTGTAAATAAAGCGATTTTCAAGAGATTTGCGGACTCTATGCCTGGAATTTTCCATTATTATGTGAATCCTATTTTTTAAACAGATTGTGGAATGAGCAGGTATTATGTTATGGGAATACCAGCAACTGGTTCTTTCCTTTACTGTTTCTGTTGAATTCTTTGAAGCAGTAGGGGCTGACAATATATTGATTTCATATTCATGGCAGGGCAAGGAAATGAGCAAGCTGATAGGCTGCAGGTAAAGCTACTGTAAAGGGTGGATGAGCAATGAACCCTGCTGATGTACTGAATGCTCTATGAGAAGTATGACGTTTGCGAGGACTAAGTGATGACTGTGAAGCTGCAGCCGTGACCAGACTGCAAGAACAGTACATTAAATGGAGGGGGGGGGTGTGGCCAGACAAGAGCACTATGCAGGAGACCAAAGAAGATTAAGAAAACAACACAAAACAGGTGTCATTAGCTGTGGGATTTACTAAGGAGGGGATCCGAGTACTTATAACTGAATGATTTGATGTGCAATGAGTATGGTCTGTTGACTAACTAACTAACTAGCTGTCTCTTTTACAACATCAGGTGTTGAGGAAGATAAGGATTCTAGTTCTCGCTCTTCTTAAACTTAAGTAACTGATGTTGTTGTAGAGTTTGTCTCATGTTATCTTTCCACAATGTTTCCGATCTACCTTAGACTCTACATCTCTGTCCTATTTCAGCATTTGCCTTGTGTATTATGCCACACAAAATGTTCTCCATGTGCAGATGAAAACAGATACTTTGCTTCTGGGGTTGGTTAAATCATCCTTTTCTGTTTTATAGTGGCAACTGTTTATTAAATGTTTTACAAATATTATTATTATTATTTACAAGCCACACATAGAACCTAAAATTTGCAAAGAAAAGCAATATATACAAAGAAAATAATGTACTATTTCTTCTTCTTCTTCTTCTTAGCATTCACAGGCTATAAACTTCAGGTGTAGTTGCTCATTATTTCTTTGTCTTTAGTGTTCACCAGCTGTCACCTCCAGCGGACAGTTCTGGTTGTTCAACCACTTCTGGACTTTGGTCTTGTTCCACAATTTGAGTTCTATGTGCACATCCATTTTACAGATCTGACTTATTTGTATGCAGACTGCTGGTTCCTTGCCACAGACAGATGCACTCTGACTCTGAAAGAAACCCCCCCCCCCTTTCCCCCAATTGGTCAACACTTAAGACTTGCTTGTTGTGCAGGCAGTGGGTCTGTTCTTGTTTTTCATCACAATGGGACCCCAGAACCCACACCAGGGAAATAATGAATTGGAAATTGACTCTTATGAAATGCATTTAAAAGTACCTTAGCCCATCTCTTTCATCTGGCGCTCTTTCCCTTTCCAGAACAAGTCCAATTGTGTTTACCTGCCGTTGTGGTGAGTGGGGTATTCTTGCAGGCAGCAGGAAAATCTGTAATATAATTGGTAACTACTGTAATGGTTGCTGTTTTAACTAATTCTTCTTCTTAGTGTTCACCAGCTGTAGACTCTGGTTGTTCGTCCACTTCTGGACTTTGGTCTTGTTCGAGAACTTTAGTTTTGCATGCACATCCATTTTACAGATCTGCCTTATTTGTGTGCAGACTGCTGGTCCCACACCTCTTAAGAAGATGCAGGACTTTAGAGGAAAAATCCCTAAGTAGTTATCTTTTACTAGATGCTTGTTACAGAGGCAGTGGTCTCTTCCTTTGTCCATCTCAAAATTTGGCCTCGGAACCCAAAGATCGAAAATTAAAAGTTAACTGCGGTTAAACAAATGTTAGTCTCTACACGGACCACCCATATAAACACTAGCTCACTTCTGAATGGTAGTTCCTGAGTCCCATGACCTTCCCACAAGGTTTCTTCCCGCAATGCGGTTGATATCGCGTGTTGTATATTTCAGCACATCGGCACTTTCAACACTCCAAAAACATGGAGGAACTGGGTCTAACAACCCCCTCCCCCAGAGAGTGCTGCAACCTGTGTCACAGGCATTCTCTTTTTCAGAATTAAAAAGTAAATGCAAGACATCACAGAAACCAAACAACAGAACGGGACACACCTGGAACCTTCAGGAAAGTAGACCAGCTCAACAAACTTGTGAATAAAAAGTTACCTACTCTATTTGGGGAGACTATCATGAAACTAACCTTCATTGCTTGTCCTTTAGAGAATACTGCAAACCAATCCCAGCATGTGTTAGACTGTTTTGGGTTTTACTAGACAATTTTACATTTGATAGTTTGCCATTGCTTTAAGAACAGTCAACTCTCTATACCACTGTTGCAATCAAAGTAAAGCAATCTGCTCCCAAATCACTTGCAGCTGGAATCACAAGGGGAGTCTCAGAATCACAAATCATGTTCACAACCCCTGAGCCACAGATGTCGATGCTGTTTTAAAACATTTGTTAAAATCAGTTATTTAGTTGGTATATCACTGTTATAAAACTCCAGGAAAAGATATCAAACCCAATTAAAAGTCAGAACAAGTCAGCTTTATATTTTCAAAAAACAACAAGGGAGTGCAGAAACAACAGAAAGCCCTCCTCAGCAGATTTCACAAATTTACAATATCCTAATGCAAAAAAGACAACGCAAAATCAGGTTACTGATGCATCTCCAAGAGAAATCACATATCTGCCTGAGCAGTAGAATATCTGACATGAGTGTGGTCACCGGAAATAAAGCAGAGTGATGTAACTTCTAATTTAAAAAAATTACAAAACTTATAATTTTTTTCTCATGTCAAATCAGTACTGTTGTACGGAGTGAAAACATTGAAAACAACTAAGGCAATTAATTATTAATAAACTACAAATATTCATTAACTAGTGTCTGTAGAACAGAGGGAATTAAATGGTATGATAGAATCACAAATGTAGAGCTTTGGTGGAAAAGAACCAAAGAAGTTCCGGTGGACCAAGAGGTGAAAAAAATATGCTGGCGTTGGCTAGGACACATGCTGAGAAAACTTGAGAACAATATAACTTTGTACTGGGACCCACAGGGGCATAGAAATAAAGGAAAAAACACATTGAGAAGGGAGCTAGAGAGTGGTTAAAATTATGGGGAGGACATGGATAGAGCTGCATGCAATAGCGAAGGATAGAAGGACTTAGCGTGAGCTGGTTGAGGGCCTATTTCCTATTGGGAATAGAAGGAAGAAGAAGGCATAATTTCTATGGTCTAGGGTATTGAGTGTCTTTTGGATCTTTTTCCTGGCTATGCCAATGTGTTGGGATATGAATAAGCAGATATATTCTGCACTGCTGGGTTGAAATAAAACAGGAAAGAGTTGGGACTAAAGCCTACAACAATTCTTTAAAGCAATTATTCAGCAAGAAGTTTACTCTAGCTAATTAATTCATGCAGCTTACCTCCCCTTGTTTAATAGGCACATCCTTATGTTTCCCGTGCTCTATGACTTTCAAACACATGTCACCTCTGAGCATATAAAACAGCTGTAAATACAAATTTAAAAACCATCTAGATTAACTATGAAAGCATCTGAAATATCCCCTTTTCTCTTTGAACTATTATATATACCAAATGTTGTTTGCCAAGGATAGTAATTTCCATTATCTGGCCATAATTAGAGACACAATGTCAAGCAGGGAGTTGTGAGACCTTGCAAGAGAGACTTAGGTTTAGCAGGGGACACAAGAAAACTGGTAAGCTAACAATAAAATGTCTCAATCAGTTGCTACACACTTAGAAAAATTCAGGAAAAATGCATGCACCAGTGAACTGTTAATTATATATGAATTGTATGTAATGCCCGGCTCTCTAGCGTAGTTGGCTAAACCTGATTGCGCTGTGACCGGGTGACGAACTCCTTGTGGTCCAGGTTCACTCCCAGGGGTAGGCAGAAAAGCCACATTTCTCCCAGATTTACTGTATTTACAATGTAATCAAGGCTGAAAGGCTGCGGTATCCATAATACCGAGCCTAAGGGTTAACAACTCAAGGCTTCTGGATACTAAAACAAACAAATTGTATGTAATAATGTTAAAACAGAAACACTGTCACTTTCAGAATGTCATATGAACTCTTCTAATCCCATCCAGGAATCACTGCAATTTGGTATAACAGTTTTTTGTTTTTTTTTCACTAAAAACTAATATCCAAGAAAGATGGGGTGGCTGGATACCCATATCAAATTGTATCTACAAGATGAACTTCATCACCTCTCTGAGAGAGACAATGTCTTATTTCAGACTAAGAACATGGCACATAAGGCATTACCAACATATGTTCAAGTTTTTTCAGTGGATGAAAAATGTGGAGAGTGGCCCCTGCAACTTGGCACCTGAAAATGCTAGGCACATGCTCCAACATTGTCATCAGTATACAGTTAACAGAGAAGCAATCTGGCCTGTTAAAACCACAATGTAGTCAAAGCTGTAAGGTACATGAGGAGATATGGACCACAACAGCTTTTGTCAAGGCTACCGGCCTCCTGTTATATATGTAACAGGGTACATTTTGAAGAGGGGATAGAAGAAGAAGAGGGGACATATAAAAGTAGAGAGAGAGACAGACGAGAAGAAATAATATTTAAAGGATGTATAAGAGGACAATAGGTTCTCCTGTGTGGAGAGTGTAGTAATAAGTCTACACCCAAAACGATCAGGTAATAGTCAGTGGAGGTATAATGGAGAGTAGTAAAGTAAAGTGGTAGCATAAAGACTACGATAACTAAATAATAGCACCACTCCTATACTCAACAAACTAACGATGGAATAAAAGAATAACAACTAACAATCATGTTTATTAAGAAACAGAATTACAAAGTCGCATATCTCATACTACACGACCAAGATGACCTTGATGCAAAAGATTTTACACTAAGTTATAAACAGCACGCCCTCACACAATAAAACTCAGCAACTGACAGCAGAATCTACTCTGCTCAACAATAAATTAGCAAGTGACGCCTAGAATCTCCTTCATTGCTCTACAAATAATAAGCAAAATAATGACTACAATCTAGCCATCTACTTTATTTCAAAATATCGACTACCATCTAACCATACTGCCAATTGCAGTAAAGAGACCATCTATTATATTGCAAAATACTGACTACCATCTAACCATACTGATAATTGCAGTCCAGAGACCTGATGGAAAGAGTATAGTGGATTTAATCCATCTGTTAGATAGTATTAAGTGTCAGACAGAGTACAGTGTATTAAATCCATCTGTTAGATAGTATTAAGTGTCAGACAGAGTATAGTGGATTTAATCCATCTGTTAGATAGTATTAAGTGTCAGACAGAGTATAGTGGATTTAATCCATCTGTTAGATAGTATTAGGTGTCAGACAGAGTATAGTGGATTTAATCCATCTGTTAGATAGTATTAAGTGTCAGACAGAGTATAGTGGATTTAATCCATCTGTTAGATAGTATTAAGTGTCAGACAGAGTATAGTGGATTTAATCCATCTGTTAGATAGTATTAAGTGTCAGACAGAGTATAGTGGATTTAATCCATCTGTTAGATAGTATTAAGTGTCAGACAGAGTATAGTGGATTTAATCCATCTGTTAGATAGTATTAAGTGTCAGACAGAGTATAGTGGATTTAATCCATCTGTTAGATAGTAGTTAAGTGTCAGACAGAGTATAGTGGATTTAATCCATCTGTTAGATAGTATTAAGTGTCAGACAGAGTATAGTGGATTTAATCCATCTGTTAGATAGTATTAAGTGTCAGACAGAGTATAGTGGATTTAATCCATCTGTTAGATAGTATTAAGTGTCAGACAGAGTATAGTGGATTTAATCCATCTGTTAGATAGTATTAAGTGTCAGACAGAGTATAGTGGATTTAATCCATCTGTTAGATAGTATTAAGTGTCAGACAGAGTATAGTGGATTTAATCCATCTGTTAGATAGTATTAAGTGTCAGACAGATTATAGTGGATTTAAGCCATCTTTTAGATAGTATTAAGTGTCAGACAGAGTATAGTGGATTTAATCCATCTGTTAGATAGTATTAAGTGTCAGACAGAGTATAGTGGATTTAATCCATCTGTTAGATAGTATTAAGTATCAGAGTCAGATAACACTGTTTATCATATAAAAATGATTGTCCATTTTGTAACTATTTTGTCCACAGACAGAGCACCGCTCTTCTGATCTGGCAGTTTCTGCAGCATGCTTTGTTCCAAACATATTTTTGTTACCCTTCCTTTTGGAGTTACCAAAGCAGACCAAGAGAGCTTATGCTGTATGGGCAACACATGGTCTCCACAATAATGCCTGGACTTTGTGCTATGGAGAGGAGGAACTTCCTTCCTTGAGCAAATCTTGCTAGTCACACTCACCATCACCAGGGTCTGTAATTCCAATACCTCCCTATAGCACAATAAAACATTGTCATCTGGAAAGATATAGGGTGTTTGTAAAGTCTCACTACACTATGTTTCACATTTTTTCTACAGACAAAGTTTAGTGAGACTTTACAAACACCCTATATAAAGATGCCAACAAGTTTCATCAACATCTCACACTAACCTCTTCTCCTTCCTCAATATGGTAGTCCTTCCTGAGGTTAGGGCCACCAACAAAGAACACCTTTAACTGTCCATCATTATGCCTAAAAGAAAACACGAACATTGTCTTTTTTATTTTTTTTAATTTTATATTACTGCTCTCTAACAATGTTAACAAAATCATGCCTATAGTGTGCATTTAGTTTATCCTGCACAAAACTACTTCCCTTGATGTTGCAAAAACTAGTAAAGTAAAAAGTAAATGATCCTTTTCAAGCCAGACATATGATACCAGACGTGCCACCATGAAGAAAAACCCTCAGATCCTTGAGTGCCCCTCTTTCCCAATAAGGGGGCATGAGTATACCCCCCCACTAAGTTTGTAAGAGTGCTATTATGCCAATTTTAATCATGTATCAAAATTATTTTTTAAAGTATTTGTTTTTCCATTTCATATTATTTCAAGTATATATATATATATATATATATATATCTATTTATATATATATAGATATAGATATATATATATATATATATATATATATAGAGAGAGAGAGAGAGAGAGAGAGAGAGAGAGAGAGTGAGTGATATGTGTGTGTGTGTGTCATTCAGTACATTATTACTATCATCAATATTAACTCTTCAGTCCCAAGGAAGTTATCATAGGTTCCTACCCAACAGCCCAATGAACCCAAGATGAGCTGATTTTAAGTCTTTCTTTACTGCCTCTTGGGCCTCTGCAGCTAAACCCTCAGGGGCTGAATGGCAAATATATTTAGTAACATACTTGAAATAATATGAGGTTTGAGGTTTGAACAATGGATCAACATCATGGCACACGGGTAGTAATCCATAAGCCCTCCGTTCTTCTTCTAACTCAAGTCTGAGTCCGAAAAAAGCTCAGCACAGTGCACAGGCTCTGCAGCACCGGCGAGGATTCTGAAATACTTTAGGTAGATTTTTAACTTCAAATTTTTCCCAGACAGGGCGGTTAGGCTACCTTTTTCTATTTCCAACTGCCAAGGGATTTTTTACGTGTGCAACAATGCACATACACACGGGCGTCCGATCTCACTACCCAGAGACCAGGGGGAATTACTAGAAGTCCAAGTCCACATGAAAAAATCCCAGCCCTTACCAAGGATTGAACCCAGAACCTCTAGCACTCGAGGCAGACACCATGCCTGGAGACCACGCAGCCCCCTAATGTGTAAACAAATACTTTTAAAGAAAAGCTCTATACATGCTTTAAGAAGACTTCTCAGTTCCCTTACTAAATTATTTATGTTACCAGTGTCAAACATGGACAGTGAATAGGACATTAGAACAGGAAATAACTACATGTGAAATGCGCTGTCTCCGCAAGGTCACTAACAACACTAGATGAGACTGGGTTACGCATACCAGCATTAGAAAGTTGGAATAAGACCATGTTTGGATTATATTGACAGACAAAGAATGAAATGGTTCGGCCATCTAGTGGGAATGCAGCCAGACCAAACTGCATATGAGACTTTTTACAGTACAACATCTGGGAGGAAGGTGAGAGGAAGACCAAGAAAGAGATGGATAAATAGGGTAGCAGAAGCCTGCAAAAAAGATGAACAAATCCCATCACCCAAACCACCCAAGAAGTGCAAGACAACTACAGAAAACCATGACACTGGGCTACAACCTGGTATCAGTGAGATGACAAAAGAAGAAGAAGAAGATGGGGCTGCCCCCCCCCCCTCCCTCTTCCCCTTCCCTTAGACAATGGTGGGAGAAGGATCATCATCAGTTCTCGTTGTGCTGTGAGAGAAGGATCAAGGGACCTAAACCTGTGTATGATAGTAGACTCAATTATGTTTTTGTAATTAAAGACCAGCCGCCACTTAACGGGTGATGAGATCAACATCACAAAGGCCGCCTTTACATTCCCCTGTATTTTCTGGTCCCCCATTTTTGACTACAATGACCTGGAAGAAGGTCGCATATAAAACATCCATCCCGATGTGGAATCAACCTAACATATTCGAGACGACAGGCAAACATCTACCCCTTGCGCTGTCATGGCTACTTCCCATTTTAGGTCAAGTTGAGTTGAGTCAAGAATTGACATCACAGCACTTGAAGCATTCCCATGTGTGCTCTGTCCTCATCTTCAGCAGCCAGCACAGAGTTCCATTACTGATGGTACCATTTTACATAGTGGTATAATTGTCCATGTTACTGCATGCTGATGAAGGCTCTCTTGTCACAAGGCTCTTTTTGTCACACACACGAGTATCATTTATTTAGTACATATAGTCCCATGTAGTCACTTCGTAGTTAGTGCATATTTGTGTATGTGTGCTGTGTTGTTCTTTATGTTCTGATGAAGGCTAATCACCACAACTTCCTTTGTTTGTTTATTGTAATTAATTTTGTAAAGATTAAATAAACTATTTTTTTCTTACCCCTTTTCTTCTCTTCCCTAGAATTTTAAAAACTGTTGTTACTTGATAGTGTCTTTGAGGAACTGACTAGTTCTCCTGTTAAAGTGTCCAAATTTGCAGGATTATGTAATTTCCGTGATTCTGCAAACACATTCTTTACTACTATGTTGTTCACTAAAAATGAAGCACTCTATTTCCAATTACCATATATTTTTTTTTTTTTTTTAAGATATACATCCAAAGCATTCTGAAGTCTACTTCATGATGACATTGCTCTAATCAACCAAGGAAGGAGAGACAACAGGTTTCTAAGATCAGCTGGTGTAATTTAAAACGACAGGGGCTTAATGGCTTTATATGAATTTGGGCCTCGTCAAGTTTAAACCCAGCCTAGTTAGTTGTACTTTCTGTTCTGTTTGAATTTCTTCTCTCAATGTGGAAACTTGAACAGCTGTGATTTACTGCTAATCTGGCAATCAACAAACTTGCCACGCTACAGTAGAAAAATTTTTTTTTAAGTGTGTTGTCCTATTTAATTAGCATACTTTCTTCCAATTTCAGAAAACATGAAATTTAACTTACATCATCTTATTGCACACAGGCGGCAGAAAGAATTGCTGGTTTTCTTCTATCCATGTATCCAGATTGTAGAGAACAGGATAAGTTGTTGACATCTTGTTATTGCAGCTACAGCCAGGTCACTCTGTAAACTAAACGAGGTCAGGGTCTGCCTAGCGGCCTGGTGTTCAATTGTCTCTGCTTTTATCTCAGTTAGGCTTACTGCCCAGCCGTGGTATAAACAAATGTCGTAGCTGGGAAAAGGGTAAGGAGGTGGGGGGGGGGGTGGGGGGGGGGGTTACAAGGGTTTATCCTGCGGCCTTTTGGGGATATGGCAGGCCTGAAACAAATGCTACAGAACATACCGGAGAACTTGGTAACAGGTGGCAGCATTGATGAAATTAAATCAAGGGGGCGACAAAGATAGCTTAGCAGTATTGGGTCGCTCAAATGCGGGCCTATTGTTTTTAACTGTTTATCGGGCTGTTTTTCTGTATTACACGTCTAACAGTAGTATGTTTATTGTTTCTTCTTCATCTTCTTCTTCTTTTTCTTCTTCTTCTTCTTCTTTTTCTTCCTCATATTTCTCTTTTTCTTCTTTTTCTTTTTCTTCTTCTTCTTCATCATCACCTTCTTCTTCCTCCTCCTCTTCTTCTTCTTCTTCTTCTTCTTCTTCTTCTTCTTCTTCTTCTTCTTCTTCTTCTTCTTCTTCTTCCTTCCTCCTCCTCCTCCTCTTCTTCTTCTTCTTCTTCTTCTTCTTCTTCTTCTTCTTCTTCTTTTCATTTTCTGAACGTTCATCGACTATAAATTCCAGCGGAAAGTGTTGATTGTTTGCTGGACTTTGGTTTTGTTCCAGAACTTGAGTATTGAGTGCAAATCTGTTTTACAAATCTGGTAATTTGCATGCAGATTGTTGGTTCTCGCCTATCAAGCTGATGCTCTCTGACTTTGAAAGACACAAAGAATATAAAAGAACAGTTTGATTTAAAGACATGTTTGCTAAGGGCATTTGAGCTTATTTCCCCTACCCCCTCACCTTCTACCAAACGGAGAATCGGAACCCACACGGGAATTTTTAGACTGTCAGTTTAATAAGTGAAATCTTTAGGCACACCAAGATTTTAAACTGCCGCTGTTTAAATGATGACATCGCTTGATTCAAGGTGGCAATGGGTTGTGATTTTGAATTCGGCTGACAGATTAGTGAAGCTCTATCGCAAATTAGGTCACACTGAACAAAGCATGGGACTGCAAAAAGGTCAAAAAGTTGTTATTTCTAGTGTGTTCAGCAAAGGAGTTAAATAATCATGAAACATACAAGCATATTGTGGAGCAAAATACAGGGGCCGATTGGGAAAGATAGACTGGTTTGTGGGTGGACTGATAAATATGTTGTGGATGGATCCACAAACAGATGACATCCACAGACAGATGACATCCACAGACAGATGACATCCACAGACAGATGACATCCACAGACAGATGACAGCCACAGACAGATGACAGCCACAGACAGATGACAGCCACAGACAGATGACAGCCACATACAGATGACAACCACAGACAGATGACAGCCACAGACAGATGACATCCACAGACAGATGACATCCACAGGCAGATGACAGCCACAGACAGATGACATCCACAGGCAGATGACAACCCAGACAGATGACAACCACTGACAAATGACAACCACGGACAGATGACATCCACAGACAGATGACATCCACAGACAGATGACAGGCAGACAGACAGTGACTGAAAGAGAAACAGACATTGAAACAGGCATACTTGTAGTTAGGTAAGTAGCTGGGGTGCCTAGGCCACTGTAAGGCCCCCCCCCCCACTCCACCCCCTCCCCCCAATAATCTTGTAAGGATTCTAAACAGCTTCCGTAGGCAGAGAGCAAAATTGAACAGGTCTTTTATCTGCGTCACTGAGAGTTGCGTTAGCACAGTGGCAAGAAACGTTTCTATCAGCCCACAGGTCTTGGGTTCAAATCTACATTGACACAGATTTTTTATACCTGACCTGGTCTCCTAGGTCGACCCACCCTAAAATGTGGTGCCGTAACAAACAGTGGAGCATTAAAAAAAGGTAAAGATAAATTCGGGAGATGTGAACCAGCGTAATTGCACACGGTTATAAACCATAAGTGCTCTGCCACCAGTACGGACAGCTGATAAGAATTGTTCGCCTGTGTCGCCGTTCGCACGTAACTTTGTAGCTACAGCGACGTTCCTCCATTTACCCCAGAGTGTCAACTCTGGTACCCATATTCTAGAGGCTGGGTGAACCCCGGGAACCGCCAGGTTCCCAACACCGACCGTGGCTGCCGCGAGTCGCAGCTGGATTTGAAAGCGAGCCTACTATCGACTGCACTATCGCAGTATATATATATATATATATATATATATATATATATATATATATATAGAGAGAGAGAGAGAGAGAGAGAGAGAGAGAGAGAGAGTTTAATTTGTAAGCTAGAGTTTTGCAATTTTAAGACTCCCTTAATGATAACACCCTGGGCGGCCCGCACCAACTCCCTTCCTATGCCACTGCTAAAATGGGTACGAGTTAATATCATGGAAGTATAGAAAGTCGGTGCAACGTTTAGCACATTATCTCAAGAGTGCGGTTTGGGGCTATAACACATATAGGTCTAGCGCAATGTGTCTGGTGAGCCAGTGCTGGACAAATTGTCTTTGCTTGTTTTGTTTTTAGTAAATTGATGTCTTTTATCCGTACACCAACTTCTCATGGGGACAATCCGCAGAGATATCTGGCGTGGCTGCTGCATCGGAGGACTGGGCAGGCATGTGAATGCCCAGTGTGTAGTGCCTCCGAGTATAATAATGTAACATAACTGCAAAATTTCCCTTAACATATTTTAAACATAATAATTTTCAGTCAGTCTCTAGAGATAGGGATATAAGAACAGGGAAGGGGGTGGGCGTTAGCTTTCAAATCCAGCTGCGACTCACTGCAGCCCACGGCCGGTATTCGGAACCGGACGGTTCCCGGGGTTCGCCCAGCCTATACGTAATGGGTACCAGAGTTAACACTCTGGGGTAAATGGAGGAACGTCGCTGTAGCTAGGGGGCGGCGACACAGGCGGACAGTTTCTTATCAGCTGTCCGTACTGGTGGCAGAGCAAATGGTTTATAGCCGTGTGCAGTTACGCTGGTTCACTCTCCCGACTTTACGTTTACCTTTTAGAACAGGTCGTGTTTCTCGTAAACAAATACAATCATATAGTACGGTTCAGGCGAGAATTGTTGGGGTAGGGGGGAGGGACAAGTCAAATTGTTCGGCCATAGTGAAAGGCGTGATATTTTTAGGAATACAACCTGCCAACCTGTCTTTTTTTTATAACATACAGCGTTTTTGTTATTTATGTTTGGATATTTGATATGTATACTTGTTAATTACTTTGTTTAATATTGCATAATTTATATAGTAATAGTTACATAATACTTATGTTTAAAAAAAATGTAATTCAAGAAAAAGTTGAAGGCAGACGAGCAAGAGGTAGCCAGCGATGCAACTAGGAAGAACAACATCAACGAGATTAACGAAAAGCAGTCCGGGAGAATGCACATTAAGGTTGAAATACAGAGCGACCGGGAGATCCACTGCAGCCAGATTTCATTGTGGGACCACTGTGGCGGAGAGGTCACACACCCCCCCCCCCCGGATCATCGCGGGAGCTACCACGATTGTGCTTTGTGCGACTCTGTCCTCTAGTCGGTCTGAGGAGAGAGACCGAACCATGTGGTATCCAGTGTAATGAAGTCAATACTTTTGACTTCAATTTTGCAGAGATGGAACCTAACTAATTGGCCGTTTCTTTCTTGTTTTTTTTTTCCCCCCTTTCAAATATTAGGGGACACGCATCATCATCATCAGGTGCCTTGCTGACTGGCGTGGGCGATCACGACTCTCCACAATCTGCGATCTCCTGCAGCATGTATCAGTTTGTGCGCTGACACACCTCCATGCCATTCAACAAGGGGAAAGCACTCGCCTTAAACAAAAACTAGACTGCTTCCGGATTATTCACAGCAGAAGTGAGACAGTCTCTGAGACTTTTCGAAGCCGACTTTTCTTCCACATGAAAGTGTGTAAAGTTTGTTCAGATTATTAGAGCTTTGTGTGTTACAGGAGTCGTAATTTTTAGGTAACATGAGTGGAGGTGTGTACACAAAGTTAATTTTGAGACGTCTCTGTCATTCATTCTTTTTTTTTTTTTTTTTGCACTTCAACATTATAGTTGACATGGCAATCTTGAGGACGTGGATGTAAACAAATCTTGGGCGGGAGCCCAAAGACAACTTATCACAGACATCAGATGGAGACAGTCATTATTTTTTTGGCCATGTAATGAGAAGGGGGGGGGGAATGGAACATGTGATGACCACTGGAAAGATCTGTGGAAGGAGGGACATTCTAATTCTTGTTGCATGGTATGGTATGCAGATGTGTCAGCACAGGATACATGTTGCAGGAGATCGTTGATTGTGGAGAGGCATGATCACCTAAGCCAGTTGGCAAATAAGAGAGTTGCTAGTGGAAGGCCTGTAGAAGCATGGGGAATTTCTCAGTACGCAAATAACGCAGCTGACAGATAGTCGTCCTCTAGGCCTCAGGTATTTCCTGGCCAAATTTTCTAAGGATCGACATAAGAGTGCCATTAAACCTTTTTACAAGCCCATTAAGGCACCTGATGATTCTAATGCTGATGCCCTACCCTGTCTGCACTTCGTTACTTTGTAACCGTTGGGTGCCCCATATAACCTCAAGGTTGAAGGGGGCTCTGGAATTCTCATTTAAAATCCTTCACACTTTCCCATAATTTCAATGTTATATTGTGCTACTGGGAGATACGGCAATCACAGACCTTGTCGATGTGGAGCGTGGTGACTAGCAAGACCCCCTCGCCGGAAGAAACGTCTCTCTTCCGCTCACAGTATGCACCAGCTTTTGGAGCCATCGTATGATTGTCTGTGGTCATCACATATTTTTGACATGTTACTTTACACTTTTCAAATGCTTATCACTGAACCTGTCTGAATCTGAGTGGGGAGAGAACAGTGACATTTTTGAAATTGTGCACCTGAAACTCATCTGAGGTGTGCACCCGGTGCCTCTTCAAAACCTGATGCTCAAAGGCAGAACAGGTACAGAGAAAATAATAAGTAACTGTAACTCACTAATTGGTTGATTCAAGAACCGATATCACATCACTCGGAGCATTCCCATCTGCATTTTCAGCAGCCAGCGAAGAGTTCCGATACTAATGGTGCCAGTAGCATTTTGATTAAACATCCATCTTGCCTTTCCTTTGAGCCTTGAGCATCTGCCGGAACCTCTTGTCACTCCCAACTGCATCAATCTCACCAGACTGTCTTGATCTATCTGCTCCTCCGAACTGTACACGCTCTCCCACAAGGCCTTAACCCCGTCTGCCTTATCATGTATCAGTATTCCACCAAGTTGTGCAGAGCTAGCCAGTCTGTCTGCCTGTTCATTTCCAAACACACCGGCGTGACACCGGTGAAAAAATTGGTTAGACCCTATATTTTTGTATGAAACACACTGTTTGTAGACCCTATATTTCTGTTTGAAACACACTGTTTGTAGACCCTATATTTTTGTATGAAACACACTGTTTGAAGACCCCATATTTTTGTATGAAACACACTGTTTGTAGACCCTATATTTTTGTATAAAACACACTATTTTTAGACCCTATATTTTTGTATATAAAAAGTACACTGTTTTTAGACCCTAAATGTTTGGAAAATAAGTGCGTCTCACACTTGGTGAAATACGGTAATCAACCTATGCTTCATTAAGGTATAGTCACAATATATAACAAAAATGTTACTTAATTAACAAAATACTACATTAACAAAAAACCTCATTAACATTTCTAAATCTACTTTTTCAGCTTCCATAGATAGAAATCACAAGCCAGGGAGAGATGTCCTCATCTTCAAAATAATTTAACTCAGTTTTAACTCATGAAACACCAACAGGCTTATCACATATGAATAGTGACATCAAATACAGAATATTGATTGCCTGGTGTACATTCGTCCTCATTATTTTTCAACAAAATGTTCGTTCGGAAAAAATTACTTTCCAGAAAGAAAACTACACACCAGATTATTCATTCTACCACAATGTGACTAGCATTGTTTCTCATATGACAAAAATTGTGAATAAATATGGTAAATATATTAATCTGAAAGATGAATTTAGGTCAAAAGCTGGCCACTCACAGCTCGTTATTAGAATATCAAATTTCACATCAGAAAAATCTGGCAGAGATAAAGTTCAGATTTTATTTGCCTTTGGTGAGCATGCCAGGGAATTCTTCCCAGTTGAAAGTATGTTTTATTTCCTGAAGAATCTCACAAGAGGTTTGGATGAGCTTCACCAAGGAAGTTTATCTGGTGCATATTCTGCTTGGGTTGTGAATAATTTTGATATTTACATCATTGGGATGACAAACCCTGACGGGAGATACTATCTGGAAGAGAGCGGTAATTACTGCTGGCGAGGAACTGGGTCAGGCATAGATCTGAACAGAAACTTTGACTGGAACTTCGCAGGTCCGGGAAGTTCTAAAGATTCCCATGATGAGGAATTCAGAGGTCCAAGACCATTTTCAGGTTAGCAGTTTTTGTGGTAACATGTCTCTTCTGACTCCTCATTATTCTGTCTCCTTTCGTTCTTCTTCTGCACTTATCCATCCTCATCCTCTTATTTCTGTTATTACCTTTTTAAATATTAAGCTGCTGCTACTCTCCTCCTCATGAGCTGCCAGGGGGCTAGATATGGTAGAGATGCTTGCCTGCAGATTGGAAGGTTGTGGGTTCGGATCTTGACAGTACCGGACTATTTTTTTTTTACGACCTTGGCTTCCAGGTTGATCCATCCTTGAATGGGTACCAGGTGGAATCCTGGGAAGTAAAAGTGGCCGGTGTGATGCCTACCATATCACACACCAAGTGCCAATTATTCTATAAAATACAGGTCCAGCCCTATAAGTGAAATACACCTGAAGGCGTGGAAGTGAGTCCTTTACCTTTTTTTTGTTTTTGTTTAAACTTATTCTCCTCCTCCGCCTTGTCCTAGCCCTTCCTCTTTTCCTCCTCTCCTCTTTCTCCTTCTTTGTCATCTCTTCCTCCACTTTTGCCTAATCTTCCTTCTTCTTTACTGCTCAACATCATCTCCTTTCTACTTTCATCTTTATTTCCATCTCTTCCTACCCTTTTTTCCCTTTCCCTCTTTATTTTCTCCTCCTCTTTCCATACAATACCCTTCAGCATCCTTTTTTTAAATGGCGTATAGTGGAAGCTCTGGTTTGTGTTTCATACATTGTAGCCTTTACGTCCTCAGCTTTCCCTCAACTCATCATCATTTTTTTATTTTGTGCTTCTCTCATTGCAGAACCAGAGACGGGTGTTTTTATAAAACTGGCGGCCAAAATATCTTTTGATGCCTTTTTGTCTTTCCACTCAGGGATTCGTCAAATTTATCTTCCGTTTGCAGGTAATGTTTGTGTCTGTATTGTGTTCCGCAAAAATGGACAAGTGTGGTGTGAGTGGATGTTAAGCATTAACACATATGTTACAGACTCTCTTCTTTTTCTACTTAATTTACAGATCTGGCTTATTCGAATGCAGACTGTTGATTCCTTGCCATATAAGGCTGATGCACTCCGTCTTTGAAACAAACATTGATCAGGCCAGGCCTCCCGGTTGGGAACCTGTTTCCATGATGTCCACGGAGAGGCTTGGATAGGTCTTAACCATTATAAACCACGGTCTTGTGCATGATCACTTGTGGTTCAGCATTTCTGTATCACATGTCCTGGACTGACATGAATACATTTTCCAGGGCATGTGAGAGGACTGGAGCTATGGTAGCACAGTGGCTGGATACTTGAGATCAAATCTGCACCAGACAGTAACTTGGTCTTCTGGGTTTAACCCAGCCTCAGGTAGATATCTGAAAAGTAAGCAACCCATATGATTTTGACTACCTAACCCATTTAGTGCTGATTGATCTGTATAGGAATGGGTCCGACATCATGGGAGGAGCCACCGTGGTGAAGCGGCTAAGCGCTCGCCTGGGGATTGGAGGGTCATGGGTTTTCGGGTCCTGATTGAGCCAGACTTTTATTTAAAAATGACCTTTGCTCGCAGGTCAAGCCAGCCGTACGTGAGTACCAGGTCCTGGGAAGTAAAGGCGGTCAACGTGATGTTGACCACGTCAACCACTTTGTGCCGACTGGTCTATAAAATCTAGCCCTATATGCCCAATATGCCTAAAGGCATATAAGGTATCCTCCACATGACTGACATCATATGCTTGATGCAGCTGCAGAAGTATGATGGAAATGAATGTGCTGATGTATTGGCTGCAAAGGCACCAGTTGTAAGAACAGTACTAATGGATACAAAGTTTGCAACCATTACATTATATCATTATAGGCATCATTATGCTTTCCAGATGTTGGGGTTGTGTGTTATTCTAGGGAAGTATGTTAATGAAAGTCCATAATCATGGCCAGTGTGACTAGCAAGACCTGCCCACGCAGAGAAGAGTCTTTCACAGTTATTCTTCTTCTTGGCATTCACAGGCTGTAAACTCCAGCGGAAATTTCTGGCTGTTTGTCTTGTTCCAGAACCGGAGGTTGCGTGCACATCTGTTTTGCAGATCTGACTTACTTGTATGCAGGCTGCTGGTTCCTTGCCTCTCAGGCAGATGCACTCCGACTTTGAAGCAAAATATCCCTAATTAGTTGCCTTTTATGACATGCTTGCTAGGGGGCGGTGAGTCTATTATTTTTCCCCCTAAAATGTACTTTTTATTGTTGATTGATATGCAAAAATCTCTGATTAATTCTTTCAGTCATAGGTATGTATTTCTTTAACTCTTCTTTTCCTAAGCAGTTGTTGTAAAGTAATATTGTCTTTGGGTTGGAGAGGTGTAAATAAAAAAAAAATGGAACAAAAGTGAGTTAAAGTATAAATTTTGGCAACTTATGAAAGTAAGTCATGGACTCTTACTCAATCTTTGTAGAAGAAAAATGTAAGCTTTTTAGGTGACATAGTAAAGTAAGTAAAGGGCCCTTTTCCATGCCTTTAGGCGTATAGGGTATATAGGGCTTGACCTATATTTATAGACCAATCGGCACATAATGGGTAATGTGGTCAGCATCATGTCAGCCACCTTTACTTCCCAGGACTGCACCCGGTACCCACTCAAGGCTGGGTCGACCTGGAAGCCAACGTCGTTTTTGAAAAAGTCCGGCTACGCCAGGGAGCAAACCCACGACCTTCCGATCCGCGGCGAGCATCTAGCTGCTCCAGCACGGCGATTCCCTTTAAGCTGACATGCTGCAGACCAATTGTTAGGATACTGTGGACCAAGAAGAAGAAAACCACAAACATCCTGCTTGACTTGAACATTGAGGAGAATTGGCTCATAAACAGCATCCTGTCCTGGAGAGAACGGTGATTGAGGATGCAGTTTCCAGAAAACCTGGCAGAGTTCCACCTCTGGGAACGTTGATACAAGGCCTTAAAGATGCATTAGCTTTGAAGGCATATAGAGATAGAGGATTGGCTAGAGAAAGAGAGATGTTCTGGCATGATGTGAAGACATATAGAGATAGAGGATTGGCTAGAGAAAGAGAGATGTTCTGGCATGATGTGAAGGCATATAGAGATAGAGGATTGGCTAGAGGAAGAGAGACGTTCAGGCATGATGTGAAGGCATATAGAGATTGAGGATTGGCTAGAGAAAGAGAGATGTTCTGGCATGATGTGAAGGCATATAGAGATAGAGGATTGGCTAGAGAAAGAGAGATGTTCTGGCATGATGTAAAGGCATATAGCGATAGAGGATTGGCTAGAGAAAGAGAGACGTTCAGGCATGATGTAAAGAGAGTGACACCCTGTAAAGGACCGTCTGATTGATGATTGTGGTGGGACAAAAAAAAACTGAAGTAACATTTGGGATAGAACTGGTTAAAGTTACAGCTGGAGGGGGAGCCGCCATGGTAGAGATGCTTGCCTGCAGATCTGAAGGTCGGGGGGTTCAGATTCTAACAGTCAGACTTTTCTCAAAAATTACCCTAATTTGGTGCCAGGTAAAGACTTGTTTAGTAAATATGACTGACCTGATGTTGACTGAACACATCACCCACCAAGTGCTGATAAGTCTAGCCCTATATGCCCAGTATGCATAATAACATGGAAAGGGTCCTTTACTTTATAGCTGGAGGTGATGCAAGGAGCTCAGCCAAGCATAGCATCATAGGAAACTCCAGTAAACACAGTGAGTTGATTAGTACTGTAGGAGTTAAATTTGTGATGGTAATTAATACTTGTTATTTCTGTTTAAAAAACCCACATTTCACAGATACAAAATCCAAGCAGCAGAACAGATTACCAGAGAATATAGACCATATGTTGAAGCTTGCCAGGCGAATGTCACATTCTTCACCCTCACGACCATTTCAGTTTGGCCTGGCTCATCGTCTGATTGACTATTCAGCAGACGGCACCTCTTTTGATTACATGGCGGGTGTTGCTTCGGTAAATAATCATTGTGTTATTTATTCTTCTTCTTTGTGCTCACTGACTGTAACCTCTGGGGAGAGTTCTGGCTGTTTATCTAATTCTAAACTTTAGTCTTGTTCCAGAGCTTGAGTTTTGCGTAAACATCTATTTTACAAATCTGGCTTTTTTGTATGCAGAATTTCTCTGGCTTTCTGCAAGAGTTTACAGCCAGTGAACGTGAATAAGAAGAAAGCTTGTCAGACACTTGAGGTTGCACTGGCAGAGAAACGGAGGCAGACTAGGAAAAAAAAACGTAGGAAATCCCATCTCTACAGCCTCATATCTGTTGTCAACACTGCTCAAGAACTTTCCAGGTTACAGTTGGATTCATTAATCATCTTTATACTCACAATTTTTTATTATTACTACTTTTAGATTCTAAGTGGTTTTCATCACTAATGGTGGATAAACAGCAACGATATGCATGATAAGTAACAGTTTGTGGTTTTTTTTGCTTCCTTGATGTAACAAATGAGCTTGTGTCTCTGTAGTAGTGTCTCGTGTAGCATTATATGTGTGATTTAATACAGACCGAACTGGCAAATGCTGAGACTCCCCCAAGCTTTAGCAATAAAAATTAACAACCTCCTCTTATGTAAACAAAAGGAGTTTATTATACATTTGAAGTTACCCTGGTAAGTGAAATAATTATCATGAACTTCCAGCGATTAGACGAACATAATTTATCAAGAGAGAGCATTTGCATTTCAGTGGAATTTATTCAGATTTGTTGCTTCATTATATGTTGATGTAAGTCTGCAGTTTAATGTTTGCATCTGCATTATTGAAATATTATATATGTGTGCTTAACAACACAGGTTCCGTTTTCACTGGCAGTTGAAATGTGGGGTCATGAGAATCATACAGGATCAAGCTGCTTTGACGAGTTCAACCCTAGGAGTGAACACTTGCAGGTAGATTTTTTTTTTTAGTGGTAACAACGCTTAGACCTGAAAGGCTCAAGTTCAAATCTGCATTGAATGTATTTTTTAAAAAAATTTTTTTTTATTTTTATGAACTTCTCTTCCAGATGAGTAATATTGTCTGGATTTTTTTTCCCGGATACGCCAGTGTGTTGGAAAATGAACAGGCAGACAGACTGACTGGCTGGCTCTGCACAACTTGGTGGAATATTGATGCATGATAAGGCAGACGTGGTTGGGGCCTTGTGGGAAAGCGTGTACAATTTGGAGGAGCAGATGGATCACCACAGTCTGATGAGATTGATGCAGCAGGGAGTGACTAGGGTTCTGGCCAATGCTTGAGGCTCAAAGGAAAGGCGAGACGGAAGTTTAATCAAAATGCTACTGGCACCATTAGTATTGGAACTCTGCGCTGGGTGCTGAAGATGGGAATGCCCCGAGTGCTGTATTGTCAGTTAGTGCATCAACTCAACTCCCAGGTTGACCCAGTATTTTAGGTTGCTTACTAATGGGCACCAAGTGAAAGTCCTGGGAAGTAGAGATGCTTGGCATGATGAGGCCACATCATCCACCCAGTCTATTAAAAAGAGTCTAACATATGTCCAACCAATGCACCAATAGCATAGAAAGGGTCCCATACTTGCTAAGATAGTTCATTGGCTAGAGAGCCACCAATGTTTGCTATGATATGTTAAGAACTATTTGCTTTGATTGGTTAAGAACTGTTTGCTGTGATTGGTTAAGAAATGTTTACTATGATTGGTTAAGAAATGTTTGCTGTAATTGGTTAAGAAATGTTTGATATGATTGGTTAAGAAATGTTTGCTATGATTGGTTAAGAAATGTTTGCTGTGATTGGTTAAGAAATGTTTGCTATGATTGGTTAAGAAATGTTTGCTATGATTGGTTAGGAAATGTTTGATATGATTGGTTAAGAACTGTTTACTATGATTGGTTAAGAAATGTTTGCTATGATTAGTTAAGAAATGTTTGCTATGATTGGTTAGGAAATGTTTGCTATGATTAGTTAAGAAATGTTTGCTATGATTAGTTAAGAAATGTTTGCTATGATTGGTTAAGAAATGTTTGCTATGATTGATTAAGAAATGTTTGCTATGATTAGTTAAGAAATGTTTGCTATGATTAGTTAAGAAATGTTTGCTATGATTAGTTAAGAAATGTTTGCTATGATTGGTTAGGAAATGTTTGCTATGATTGGTTAAGAAATGTTTGCTATGATTGGCTAGGAAATGTTTGCTATGATTGGTTAGGAAATGTTTGCTATGATTGGTTAAGAAATGTTTGCCATGATTGGTTAAGAATTGTTTGCCATGATTTGTTAAGAAATGTTTGCCATGATTTGTTAAGAAATGTTTGCTATGATTGATTAAGAAATGTTTGCTATGATTAGTTAAGAAATGTTTGCTATGATTAGTTAAGAAATGTTTGCTATTATTAGTTAAGAAATGTTTGCTATGATTGGTTAGGAAATGTTTGCTATGATTGGTTAAGAAATGTTTGCTATGATTGGTTAGGAAATGTTTGCTATGATTGGTTAGGAAATGTTTGCTATGATTGGTTAAGAAATGTTTGCCATGATTGTTAAGAAATGTTTGCCATGATTTGTTAAGAAATGTTTGCCATGATTTATTAAGAACTGTTTTAGTCCACAAAGTCTAAACGCTAATTTGTTTTGGACAGCAATGACTTACATGTTGACGGTATGATGTAAATGATACAGTGTTGTCAGGTTATTGATCGTGGTTCCAGCTTCACGACAAATGGGGTCACCCTGTACTTATTTAATTCCTTGCCAGTGAAAACCACACTAAATTCCTGTCACTGTCAATGTGAAAAGCAGTCCCAGCAAAATCCAGCATCTTGTATACACATTGAACATAGCTGAAGGAGGAGTGTGCAACTTTTGACAGCATTTAACCCCACTGAGAACAAATTTCGGTTGTAATTGGGGGCTTTTTTTTTACTTGCGACAAGTTCAGTGGCTTAAAGAGTTGTATCTCATTGTCCCTAGCTCTGTGATGTTGTTGCCCTGAACATATCTGGGTCTTCCATTTGGGTCCTGTATTCCCGACGAGGGTTCTGTTTTTCGTGTCTATTGTCTTGTCCTCTGGGCGCAAATAAAAATAGCGCACAATTAAAATCAAAGCTTCTCTCAGCGGGGTTGAATGCTGTAAAAAGTTGCGCCCTGCCGCCATCCCCCTCCCAGTAACAACAACACATATTCTTGGTCATAACATATGAGGTGGTTAGACCAGTTGTGTGTAATTATGGTTGTACTTCTTATGTCTCATATGCTGTTTTTGCTGTAGGGTTATTATGTCCTGTCTTGTGTCTTTGAGATCTTGTCCTCGTGTATGTCATTGTTGTGTGTCCTATGCTCCTATAGTGGAGTCCTTAAATGGGCCGGTCCTATTATGATTCCATACTGTAGCCGCAATATAGGCAGGCCATAAATTGTCTGAACGCGGTATTTGGGACCTCTCCACGGCGATTCTAGTCCACGTGGTGGCACTTTGTGTCATCGGGTGTTTATCGCTTGTGTGATGTCCTGGTGGGGTAGAAAGTGATTCTATACTGTCCACTCTCCGGCAAGTACTAAGGATAAGGACTACGGCTGTCACCAGTACCAGCTGGGTATAGCACTAATCTTATTGTTTTAAAACTTTGAGTGTCGAAGATTCCAAAGTGATATCCTCAAATACAATTTTGAACTTTGATGGATCAGACAATATAAAATCATGTCATATTTGATTTTGAAAGAATATGTAATCGCATTACACTTAATACATCCAGCATCAGCATTTGCTGTGCCGTGAACTACCTTGCTTCATCTTTGTCTCCTCCTCCTATTTCTTTCTTTCTTTCTTCTCATACCATATATATGAATATATATATATATATGAATATATGAATGTATATTTAAGTTTGTATGTGTGTGTATTTATGTATATATGTTGTAAGTATGTGTGACTGTATGTGTGATTGTGGGTATGTGTGTACCTAATGTAGGCAAGTATGTATGTATGCATGAGTGTATGTATGTATGTGAGTATCTGTATGGGTGATAATATATGTGTGTATGCATGCATGTGTGGGTATGTATGTAATGTGTGTCGGCATGTATGTGGGTGTGTGTATGTGTGCATGTTTGTTGATGTGTGTATGCATTTGTAGATGTATAAGTATATGGGTGTACATGTGTGTATTTAGGTATGTAAGCATGTATGTGTGTAATGATGTAGGTGTATGTATTGATGTGTGTATGTGTGTATGTATGTATGTGTGTATGTATGTTTACATGTGAGTGTAAATGTGTGGTTGTGGGTGTCTGTACATGTGATAGTATGTGTGTGTATGCATGCATGCATGTGTAGGTGTGTATGTATGGAATGTGTGTGTGCATTTATGTCCATATATGTATGTGTGTGTCTTTTCTGTTTGTGTATATATGTAGATGCGTTTATGTATGTTTGTATGTATGTATGGATGGATGGATGGATGTATGTATGTATGTGCTAGGTATGTCAGTATATGAGTGTGCATATATGAGAATGGGAGAGTGTGTAAGACTGTGAACACATGTTGTATGTATTATATTCTATAATGTATATTTTTATTCTATATCCATAACATGCATTTTAGATAACAGGCAGTGGTACTCTGAAAAACGAGTGCTTAAAAGGGCCGAATGTCAGACGGGCCTGCGTGCCCAATTTGTAACCCTTTGAAAATAAAGTTTGTTCGTTCGTTCGTTCCTTCTTCTTCTTCTCCGCCTCCTCTTTTTCTTCTCCTTCTTCTTCTCCTCCTTCTCTTCTTCTTCTCCCTCTTTTCCTCCTGCTCTTCTTCTTCATCCACCTCCTCTTTTCCTTCCTCTTTTGCTTCTTCTTCTTCATTAGCATTCCAAGCACTAGAGGTTCATTGCTGTAGATATAATCCACTTTCATTCATCTCTGTGATTAGTCTTCTCGTTCCACTTAACGACTCCAGATGTTTCTAAGTCTGCCTGTATATTATCCCTCCACCAACATCTTGGTCTGCTTCAGCTTCATGGTCTACTCCCCTTCAGCTCTTTTGTCTATGGGGCTAACTTTAGTGTTATAAATTATGGGCAGTCTTAAAGATACCAAGATTTGAAATGTCTCATCCAGGAGGAAGTGGCACTGGTACATCCATTGTATGTGGAGATGCTTTCATATTTGTTGACCTGGAAGACGAGAAAATCAGCAGCCAGAAATAGGGTGAGTCATGAAGAATTTTTTATATAGAAATGACATTTCAGAATGTTGCAGTAGAAGATTACTGTTTTCTCATTAAGCCTTGGTTAGTTAGTTAGTTAGTTAGTTAGCTAGTTAGTTGATTAGTTAGTTAGTTCGTTAGTTAGTTAGTTAGTTAGTTAGTTAGTTAGTTAGTTATTAGTTAGATAGTTAGATAGTTAGTTAGTTAGTTAGTTAGTTAGTTAGGTAGATAGTTAGTTAGTTTGATAGTTAGTTAGTTAGTTAGTTAGTTTGATAGTTAGTTGGTTAGTTAGTTGGTTGGTTAGATAGTTAGTTGGTTGGTTGGATAATTAGTTAGTTGGCTGGTTAGTTATTTAGTTAGTAAGTTACTTACTTAGTTAGATAGTTAGCTAGTTGGTTGGTTGGTTAGTTAGTTGACAGATTATCCTCATTGCAGATCGGACTATTCAGTCTATAAGTGTTCAGATTCCCTCCTTAGTGAATCCCACAGCATGCAGTGGCTGTTGACACGAGTCTTGTGTTGGTTTCTTATTCTTATTTGGCTTTCTGCATAGTGCTTTTTTCTGGCCACAACTGTTTTAACATGTTCTTGCAGATGGCCATTGCTGCTGATTCAGTCATCACTTGGTTCTGGCAAATGTCTGACTTCTCGTAGAGCATTCAGAATGTCAGCATGGTACATGGCTTGTCCGTCCTCTGTAGTAGCCTTACCTGCAAGCCAATTAGCTTGCTCATTTCCTTGCACAGCTGCGTGCCATGGCACAAATAATGAAACTGATACGACCCCAAGCGCTTTCTTCTGATTCAGCTCTTCTCTATCTTCCTGAGCATACTCATTGAGTCACTGAGAAAGCATACACGGGAAAAGGTCTGTGTCTTCAGCCATATTATTGCTTTGGTCATTGTCATGACCTCCTTGTGGTAAAGGCAACAGCACCAGAATCTTGCTTCACTATTCTCACTCCAACCTGAGCTATAAAAACCCAAGAGCTTCTCACATGGCGAGGTACATTAACCGTTTCACCTCACAAAGGCTTAAAGCAGTTGGGGGGCGGGGGGGGGGGGGGGGGGGGTGGTATGAACCTATAGGAGTTCCTGAAAAAACAGCAACAGCTTTTTACACAGGTCACTAATACATTTTTAAAACATTTAGATATCTACATGCAAATTATTTTTTTCCAAAATTTATAAAGATATATCAGTAAACATGAACATATTGAAGCACTAGATGGAGTACATTCCCCAGGGTCTATAAAAAAAACAGTATGTATTGGGTAACTGATGCATTGTCTCCATGACCTTTATCACTGAGGCTCACGTAAAAAATGTAACATCAGGTTACAGGTTGCTTATTAAAAAAAACATAAAAATACTTTTTATAAAATATGCTTTTACTGCCTTTTTAAAGCCAAAAAATAAAACTGCTGATAGAGAAGTCTTGAGATCTCTCTGGAAAACCTCTCAACCCAAGGTAGAAGAAGAAAGACTAAGTGAAACGAAAGTAAACAACTAAATTATATATAATGATAGTGGCTTATAGTTGTGACACGCTTAGTCGAGTTTTTAATATTGTTATTAAGACACCCCACGCTTTTATTAGTCGAGGTATAAATTTGCAGATGACTTTTTGTCAAATTTCTCTCAGGCAAGCTGGGATGAAAACAGCGCTCTGTAAGGACCTGCTACATGATGATGATGATGATATACTCCTTACGTGTCAAAGCATAGAAATTTTTTTAACTCACTATATATCCACTACTATTTAAAAAAAAGTAAAATACCATTTTCTACGCCTTTAGGCGTATAGGGCATATAGGGCAAGACCTATTTTTTTTATAGACCAATCGGCACAACATGGGTTGTTTGGTCACCATCACGCCAGCCGCCTTTACTTTCCCAGGTCTGCACCCAGTACCCACTTAAGGCTGGGTGAACCTGGGAGCCAAGGTCATTTTTGAAAAAGTCCGGCTTCGCCAGGGAGCGAACCCATGACCTTCTGATCCGCGACGAGCGTCTAGCCGCGGGGCCGCGGCGACTTCGTATATCCACTATACTTCAATGTTATTTACTGTGGTGTAGTTTTTACTGTTGCCAGAGAATGGGTAGTGCCTTATGCTATTAATTGCATGTGCAACCACTGATTTGTTGCAACTGCTTTTTTCCGTTTATGATGAACTGCATTTCTAGTGCCTGAATGTTTGTGTTGGCACTTCTGACAGCTGCCAAATGCATTTAATGTGTGTGTATGCTATTGGCTTTGCTGAGACTGAAGTCTGTGTCAGTTTTTTCTACAAGGGACAGTGAGGGACATTCTGTGTGGTTTTAGTTGATAGAGGAATGGAGCAGTCTGCTCCTTAAAGAACACAACACACACACACACATCGTGTTTGTAACTGACTCAGAAAGCATGCTGAGGAAGGTCAGGACAGGCATGCTTCGTGCAGAGGGACATGCTTCACTGCGGAGGACACAGGTGAGGAGTATGGTCTGGATTTTTTCTCTTGGATATGCCGGTGTGTTGGGAAATGAATACGTGGACAGACCGGCTGGCTGTGCACAACTAAGTGAAATACTGATGCATGATAAGGCAGATGTGGTTAGTGCCTTGTGAGAGAGCGTGTACAGTTTGGAGGAGCAGATGGATCACCACAGTCTGGTGAGATTGATGCAGCGGGGAGTGACAAGGGATTCTGGCAGATGCTCGAGGTTCACAGGAAAGGTAAGATGGACGTTTAATCAGAATGCTACTGGCACCATTAGTATCGGAACTCTGCACTGGCTGCTGAAGATGGGGACAGAGCACTTATGGGAATGCCCCGAGTGCTTTGATGTCAGTTCTTGAATCAACTCAACTCAGGAACGGAGCAACTGTGGGGCGGTCCATTTGCTGTGAAGCTAAAACTGTGATTACCTTATTAGGCCAGTGTGGGTTCCAGGACCCCGTTATCTGGAAAACAAGAATAGACCCACTGCCTACCCAAAAGCATGTCAAAAGAGTTGACTAATTGGGAGCTTTCTTCAAGGTCAGAGTGCATCTGCCTGAGAGGCAAGAAACCAGCAGTCTGCATATAAAGGAGTCAGTTTTGTAAAATGGATGTGCATGCAACAGGTTCTGAAACAGGACTAGAGTTTAGAAGTGGACAAACAAACTGAATTTTCCGCCAGCGTTTACAGCTGGTGAATGTAAAGAAAGCAAAGAAGATGACCTTATTAGTTGATTATTGTTAACTCTTATTCTCTAACCAACAAGGCATCTTCTACCTTGATACGGGTGAGGAAAGATAACAGCCTCAACTCAGAACACCAGCAAGATGTCTTATATGCATCCCAGACTTCCCGAGAGGTATGTAGTGGCTAGAAAATTATCCATCTTTGCCACTGTATACACTTGTATCAGCCTCTTATGTATGCTTCTAGTGAAAATGCAACAGCTGTGCCGGATTCCTAAAGTATATTCCAACCAAATATAAAAGGTTTGCCCACTTAGAGAGAATGTCTTGTGACGACATACAATGCAAGGTATACATCAAAAGAAGAGATGGGTGAAGTGCACAAGGTAGACCGAGAACATTTAGAATGATAACATCAGAGAAACTCTACATCATTTGTCTGTGGTTTAGGCGGACAGAAGAGCCAGAAGCAGAACCTTGTTATCTCCCTTGAAACCTGAAGCTGTAAAAGAGGAAGTGAAGAAGGAGAGGAAGAAATAACACATAATGAGTTGAATTTGTCTGTCTAGATCAGATGAATTTATCTCTCTAGATCCCCTGTATTTATCTATCTAGATCTCATGTTTTGTCTGTCAAGATCCCATGTATAAGTAGATCCCATGAATTTGTCTGTCTAGATCCCTCTGTATTTGTCTGTCTAGATCCCATGTTTTTGTTTATTTAGATACCATGTGTTTGTCTGTCAAGATCCCATGTATTTGTCTGTCTAGTTCTCATGTATTTGTCTGCTTAGATCCCATGTATTTGTCTGTCTAGATCCCAGGTATTTCTCTGTCTAAATCCCATGTATTTGTCTATCTAGGTCCCATGTGCGTCTTTATCTCTTTATCAGTCCACTCCCCAACAGTATGGGACCCTTGTGGGATCAGTGGCTAGACACTAGACCACCGACCCACAAGTTCAAACCTGGATGGACACAGACTGTTATAATTGACCTTGGTTCTCAGGTTCGATCCCAGCTGCGGGCAATGCGCCTTGCGTTGGTTTCGACAGTGGTATCAAGAAAGCCGACCGTCCAGCAAGCAATGGCAAACTACTGGACGTAAATTGCCTAGAGAAACCACACAACAGCCAGGGGCTGTCACAACAGCCAGGGGCTGTTGTGGTTGGTTCTGCAACGTCCTGTAAAGGATACGCAACTAACTTTTTTCTCAGGTTGTCCCAGCCTAAAGTGCTGATTGAAATATGTCTGAGCGTGATGTTATCTCCCAGCAAGTGCTGATTGATGTCTGAGAATATTACATGCTTGATGTGCCTTTGGTGTGATGATTTTTTTTTGGTTTTTTTTTTTTCGAGGGGTTGGTGGGGGTTGTTTTGTTTTTGTTCTGTCAAAAATAAGAGCAACAATAGGCAATTCTGACCTGCTGCTGTTCCCCTAGAATCTCAACCAACACTTAATGTTTTTTTTTGGTGTTCTTAATTTGCTCAAAGGATACTAAAAACATCTGATGTTACCATCTTAATGTGTGTGTTTTTTTTACTTTTTTGGGGGGACATTTTATCAGAGTAACAATATTAGGTGTGTTACTACCTGCTCTTCTCCTTGTATCTCAACCAACATGTAATGTGTTTTCTTACATTCTACATTTGGTCAGAATATACTAAAGAAATCTGGCATCACTGTAGACAGTTTTTGTTTGTGTGTGTGTGTGTGGGTTCAGCCTCTCTAACACTGTCAGTATCCAGGAAGTCACCATGAATTTCTTGATTAAACCATGCATGGTGTGCTTGCCTTAACTCCTGTGCTTCACACAATCATTACAAAAACTTAATGTATCCTAATTGTTACTCAAACGCCTTCATCACACTGTGTTAACAGTTAACCCCTTGAAAGCCCATCACACTGTGTTAACAGTTAACCCCTTGAAAGCCCATCACATTATGTTAATAGTTAACCCCTTGAAAGCCCATCACACTGTGTTAGTAGTTAACCACTTGAAAGCCAAGCATTTTTGTCTTCTGTGCTCACCTTCAGAAGGCATCAAATTTCACAGCTTTTCCTTTTACAAAAGCCTTTGATATTATCCAAGTGAGGCACTGGTAGCACTGTGTCAGTATGAATATATTGTTTATAATTTTTTTTTTTAAATGGTTATATGGTTTCTATGTTTGGATGTCTTAATAAAGACATTCATTGGTATATAAGTGCACTGGACCGTTGGAATATGATAGTGATTATATCAGATATTTAGCTATTTTGTTGCTATCTTTGATAATTTGAATGTTTCGTTCTTTCACAGATTAGCCGTAGTGCCTCATTTGAAAGCCAAATTATATACGTGATCTTTGCTCTGGTGGTTACTGGATGTGTGATTCTTGGTGTCCGACATACGTGTCAACTTATGCGTAAAAAACGTATTGTCAGTTTGAAATCATTAAGCTTGACATTTTCATTATGTAAACATTTGTAGTTGCTTGGAGCAGAGTGGCAAGCTCCGCTTAGAAAGTTACGGGTAGTACTTTAGGTCTTTTATCCAGGCCATGCCGGCATGGTAGGGAATGAACAAGCAGACAGATTGGCTGGATCTACACCACTGGATGGTGAATTGATAATGACAAGGCAGATGTGGTTAAGGCTGTTTGGGAACAAGTAACGATGTCAGAAACGAAACTGGATTATTATGGCCTGGAGAAAATGATGCGCCTGGGTGTGACCAGAGGGTTTGGCCAGCTCATTACACTCAGAGAAAAGGCAAGATGGATGTATAGCCAGTCTACGACCAGTACCGTTAGTATTGGAACTCCAGGATGGCTGCTGAAGATGGGGACGGAGCTCATATGGGAATGCCCCGAGTGCTGTGATGTCAATTCTTAACTCAACTTAACTCAACTCCTTTGGAGAATCAAAATACTTGTATATATGATTTAGAACTGTGGAGATGATTATAGTATGTTTTCATAAGTATATTTATATATATATAAATTATATTTCCTGCGAAAATTTTTTTTAAATAAGATAAAAAAGTAAAGTAATCTCATATTAACTCATTCTGTATCAATTGACGCACCATATGTTTGTTCGTAACTACTTACCTGTTATATCTTTCCTTACTGCTTCTGTCGCATCCTGTTGTTATATTATCCAACGGTACCACTCATAAAAGTCACCCCATCTCATTTTGTTATGGTTCCCATGGGCTGTCCTACGTTCTAGGGGTGTTATGATATGTCTTCCTTTACTGTCTATACACAGCATGCTGAACAGTGGATCGGGTTTGTTTGACGCAGTTGACACACTGTCTCCAAGACAAAAGTGCGCAGCTTTCTTTTCACAACTCTTTTTTCTGTGAACGACTGTTGTTTCTGGAATGTGTTGTTGTTGTGAGTAGGTTTCAGGCAGACAGTGCACCTACCTGTATGCAAGGATGAAGTACTGCAGGGCGAAGCTCCAGAGGCGCGACGGTTTGTGAGGATCAAATCATTGATGTTTTTGTATTTTTATGTTCGTTGACATGGCTGTCTTCAGTTGTGGATGTTCTTAAAACTTTTATAAAAGGAACACATGAAATGTCAAGACTAGGAGTGTCCCGGGAAATCCCCTACAAAATCTCATGGCAGAGAGATGGGTGACTTTTGTGAATTATACCAATCCAACTCTGCATCACTTATTTCATAATTCCTTTTATTCAAGATGGCTATATTTGAGCCATTTTGGCGTGTAATTTATTAGTTTAAAATAACTGCTTCAGGCGAAATGATTTATAGCAGTGTTCTTCAACTCATGGGCTGGTACCCTGTGGTGAGCTGCAAAAAAAGTCCATGTAGGTCACCAGACATATTCTGCTTACTTATGTAAGAAGATGGGGTAGGTGGTTTTCCTCTTTCAGTCTGTAGGGTTAACACATCAGGGACTTCCAGGTTGTGTGAAAAGACGTCCTCAGTAAAAAAAAAAAAAAATAGAATTAATGATAAAGTAGCGCTTAATCTGTCAGAAACAACGCTCCTGCTACATATATCAGATTGTTTCACCTCTAAGCAGCAAACAGTAGATGTCACATTCGCTGAAATTTGTAGTTTTACGATATTGAATTTAATAAATGAACTGCTATCTGTGTTTGGTTTTCTATTATGATTAGTTTTGTATTGTGTTTGTTTTTGTTTCGTGTTTGTTTATGTATCATGTTTGCTTTTGTGAGGTGTTTGATTTGCTATCATTTTTGGTTTTATAGTGTTTTTGTAACATGTTTGTTTTTATGTTGTGTTTGGTTATTTATCGTGTTTGCTTTTGTGAGGTGTTTGCTTTTGTATCAGTTTAGCTTTGTATTGTGTTAGATTTTGTATTAGTTTACTTTTGTATCATGTTTGCTTTTGTAAATCCAGTAAACGCGGAAAAAAAAAGAATAAACAATGCAGCATGATAATGAGCTGGTAGCCACTCATAATGTTGTAACAAAGTATGACGGAAGTCCTTAGATTATTTTATAAGGCGAGTAGAAAATGAATTTGATATGTTACAATGACTGTGTACAACATCAGAAGCTTTGGGAAATCATGAGGAATATGGGCTTTCCATCACATATAGTGCAGCTCATTAAAATGCTCTATCAAGACCAACAAGCAGCAGTCAGAATAGATGGAGAGACATCAGACTGGTTTGGCATCAAGCAAGGAGTCCGTCAGGGATGTGTGCTGTCACCGTATTTGTTCAACCTGTACGCCGAAAATATAATGAGAAATGTAAGAGATGATATAAACAAGGAACAATATGATGCCCTAACCATCGGTGGTCATGAAATACCAGAAATTCGTTATGCTGATGATACAGTATTACTATCAACATCACAAAATGGTTTAGAAAACTTATTAACCTCACTCCAAAGAAATAGTGAAAATCATAACTTATTTCTTAACATAGCAAAAACAAAGATAATGCATACAAACAAAACTGCCATGGAGAAGGAAATATATGTTAATGAGGAAAGATTGGAAGTGGTGGAAAATTTCGAATATCTTGGGTCACTGGTTACCAACAATGGTGACACAATGAAAGAAATTAAACGGCGACTATCAATTGCTCTTCAAAGACTAAAACAACTGAATAAATTATGGAATTGTACAGATAGAATTACAAAGGTCAGATTTTTAAGAGCATGCATCTTTCCCCATTGCAACATACGCCTGTGAGACCTGGACACTTACTAAACAAGCGGAACAGCGCATAAATGCATTTGAATATAAATGTTACAGACAGGTTCTAAGAATATCTTGGGTAAAGAAAAGAACAAATGCATCCATACTTCAAGAGCTGAATATTGAAGAGGGTTGGCTAGTAAAGACAATAAAACAAAGAAAATTGAAATATTTTGGTCACTTGAAACGTCATGGAAGTCTAGAGAGAACAATAATGGAGGGGTATATGCCTGGGAAGAGAGGAAGAGGAAGGCCAAGGAGAAGATGGGTGCAGGATGTGGCAGATGATCTCCAGATGGGTGTATCAGACGCAGGACATCTTGCTCAGGATAGGAAGGTTTTCCGGAGGGTTGTTATGGCAGCGAGGTTCCGCGAGGGACATGCTACTGAATGAATGAATGAATGACAATGAGATCGGCTTCACATTCAGTCAATTAGTAAAAATATTATGTGGAAGTGGCAGAGATATTGTTTTTCTAGACAAATGATGCTAATCGTCATCTAGCGTAGATGTTCATGCATCTCCACACAGTTCTCAGTCCCTTGTCCTCTGGATCAGTTCCACCAGTGATATCCCTCTATGCCACCATTGCCATCCAGGGAGAGAGAATACTCTGTACAGATAAACAGAGTCAAGAAGATATATTGCAAGAAACTGACTCGTGAAGAGAACTGACTACCCACATAAAAAAGGGACATTCTATATTCTTTGTTGGTGTCATCAGAAGGAGCAGGGGGGAAAGGGGGGGGGGGGGGGGGTTCAGGAATACATCATTATAGTGGGAAAGTTAAGGGAGACTGGGAGAGGTGATGCTGGACAGTTTAACATGGCATGGAAGATCATGTGTGTCAGAACTGATTGAAAGTACAAGAGACAGAAGTTTGTGGATAGACTTGACTACCAACACCACAAAGTATGGAAGGTCATCTGTGTCAGAACTGCTTGAAAGTATATGAGACAGAAGGTTGTTAATAGACTTGAAAAAAAGCCCGGCTCTCTAGCGGAATTGGCTAAACCGGATTTCGCGGAGACCGGGTGACGTACTCCTTGTGGTCCGGGTTCAATCCCGGGGGTAGGCAGGAAAGCCACATTTTCTCCCAGATTTACGGTATTTACAATGGAATCAAGGCCGAAAGGTTGCGATATCCATAATACCGAGCCTAAGGGTTAACAACTCATGGCTTCTGGATGCTAAAAAATAAAAAAAAATAAGAAGAAAACGAAAGAGATCAATGGGATGGATATTTATTCTGGATTTTAACTTTCTCATGTTGTATTTCTCAGTAGTCAAAAATGAAATCTGTTATGTTTTTGACTTTTATCTGTGGGATATCAGTTTTGTGTATTTGATGTACACATTGTTGGTGATGCAAGGTATATAATTTCCCTCATATGGGGAACCAAAAGTCTGCATACAAATAAGCCAGATCTGTAAAATGGATTTGCATGCACAAGTCAAGCTCTGGAACAAGAGAAAAGTCCAGAAATGGATGAACAACCAGAGAAGAAGAAGAAGAGACTGATTAATTTATTCTGATTTAGCGATGTCTATATTATCAACGAAATAGAAACAAATTATTCCTAAATGTGTAATAAAAGTCAATGGTGTTATTTTAAGACAAGTACAGAAATTTAAGTATCTGGGCACATGGATAATATCAGATGGAAGATGCATAACTGAAATAAGAAACAGAATTGGACAGGCAAAAACTGCATTTTATAAAATGAAAAACATCTTGTGCAATATATCCTTGTCATTGAGAGTTAGAAAAAGAATTCTTGCTTGCTACATACATCCAGTTTTAACATATGTGAATCCTGGACAATCGGTAGGCAGGCCAAACAATTTTTAGAGGCCTCAGAGATGTGGTTTTACAGAAAAATGCTTAGAATACCTTGGACAGCCAAAAAGAGCAACCAAGAGGTTTTAAAAGAGGCGGGAGCCCGAAGACAACTTATCACTGACATCAGAAGGAGACAGTCATCATTTTTCGGCCATGTTATGAGAAGAGGGAAAATAGAACATGTTGTGACCACTGGAAAGATCTGTGGAAGGAGGGATAGAGGAAGACAACGAGAGAAGATGCTTGACAGTCTTGATGCTTGGCATGGAGGTGTGTCGGCACACGAACTGATACATGCTGCAGGAGATCGCGGATTATGGAGAGGCATGATCGCCCACGCCAGTCGACAAGGCACCTGATGATGATGATGATATTATCAACCTGTTGATTCTGAGGACCCACTTGGAGGCAGAAATGAATACATAGGTGTAGATCC